ATTCCAATCCCAAAGAAAGGCGATGCCAAACGTGCTCAAACTCCTGCACAATTGCACTCATCTTACACACTAGTAAGTGAAGTCACTTAGTTGTGTCTGACTCTTTGCGACCCCATGAACTGTAGCCTACCACGCTCCTCCATCCATGGGATATTCCAGCAAGAGTACTGGAGTAGGTTGCCATTTCCTTCTCCAGAGGATCTCCCCGACACAGGTATCAAACCTGGGTCTACTGCATTGTAAGCAGACGCTTTACTGTCTGAGCCACCAGAAAAGTAATGCTCAAAATTCTCCAAGCCAGGCTTCAACAGTACATGAACCATGAACTTCCAGTTGTTCAAGATGGATTTAGAAAAGGCAGAGGAACCAGAAATCAAATTGCCAACATTTGTTGGATCATTGAAAAAGCAAGAGAGTTCCCCAAAAACATCTATTTCTGCTTTATTGACCACGTGAAAGCCTTTGACTGTGTGGATCACAACAAACTGTGGAAAATTCTGAAAGAGATGGGAATACCAGACCATCTGACCTGCCTCCTGAGAAATGTGTATGCAGGTCAAGAAGCAACAGTTAGAACCAGATATGAACAACAGACTGGTTCCAAATAGTAAAAGGAGTATGTCAAGGCTTATATTGTCACCCTGATTATTTAACTTATATGCAGAGTTCATCATGCAAAATGCTGGGCTTGATGAAGCACAAGCTGGAATCAAGATTGTTGGGAGAAATATCAATAACCTCAGACATGCAGATGATACCACCCTTAAAGCAGAAAGTGAAGAGGAACTGAAGAGCCTCTTGATGAAAGTTAGAGGAGCGTGAAAAAGCTCACTTAAAACTCAACATTCAAAAAATGAAGATCATGGCATCCAGTCCCATCACTTCATGCAAACAGATGAGGAAACAATGGAAACAGTGACAGACTTTATTTTCTTGGGCTCCAAAATCACTGCAGATGGTGACTGCAGCCATGAAATTAAAGGACCCTTGCTCCTTGGAAGAAAAGTTATGACAAACTAGACAGCATATTAAAAAGCAGAGATATTACCTTGCTGACAAAGGTCCATCTTGTCAAAGTTAGGGTTTTTCCAGTAGCCATACAAGGATGCGAGAGTTGGACTATAAAGCTGAGTACCAAAGAACTGATGCTTTTGAACTGTGGTGTTGGAGAAGACTCTGGAGAGTCCCTTGCACTGCAAGGAGATCCAACCAGTCCATCCTAAAGGAAATCAGTCCTGAATATTCATTGGAAGGACTGGTGCTGAAGCTGTAACTCCAATACCTTGGCCACCTGATGCAATGAACTGAATCACTAGAAAAGACCCCAATGCTGGGAAAGATTGAAGGTAGGAGGAGAAGGGGATGACAGACAATGAGATGGTTGGGTGGCATCACCGACTCAATGAACATGAGTTTGACCAAGCTCCAGGAGCTGGAGACAGGCTGGGAAGCCTGGCGTGCGGCAGTCCATGGGGTCACAAAGGATTGGACATAAGTGAGCAACTGAACTGAACTGAAACAAGCAACTCAGTAATAAAAAAGGCATAAGATATGGGGAAAAAAAGACATATATCACAGGAGAGAAACAGCAAATGAATAATAGAGAAAGCCAAAAGTAAAATGGCAAATGTAGTAAGTCCAATCATAATTTTATTAAACAGACTAAAAATCTCCAATCCAAAAGCAAATAGTGACTGTGTAAAAAAGCAAGATCCAACAATGTGCTGTCTTTCAGAGACCCATTTGAAATCAAGACATAAATAGGTTAAAAAAGAAAGGACAAAAAAAGATATGGCATGCAAACAATAATCATAAGAGAGCTGGAATGGCTGTAGTAGTATCTTAAAAATGAACTCTAAGAAATATTACTAGATAAAAAGAGATTTTATAATGATAAAAGGTTAGTACCTTTTATGTAACAAATACATTAAGGTATGTACCTAAAGTACCTAAAGCCAGTTCAGAATACATGAACAACAAGATTCACAGCTAACTTTTCAGCAAACAAATGGTGGCCATTAAGGCAGTGGAATGATATAATCAAAGGGCCTGGGGCAGGGGTGGGGAAATGCCAACAGAGAATTCTAAATCCATCAAATGCTATCCTTCTAAAATGAATTTGAAATAAAGTACAAAATAAAAACTGGAGAGTTTGTTGTTGGCATACTTGTCTCACTGATAGAAGCAAGTATCAGAGAATCAAAAGGAGAAATAGACAAATTAATAATTATAGTTGAAAATGTCCCAGTATTAATAACAGAACAAGTAGACCAAAAATCAGCAAGGTTATAGAAGATCTGAACAATATTATCAACCAATTTGACCTAACATATTTTTTAACACTCTACCAAATGAGAGGAGAATATGTATTCTTTTCAGATGCATGTGAAACATTCTCCAGGCTAGATCATATGCTAGGCCCAAAAGATAAATCTCAAATGTAAGTGATACATTTCTAAATAATACATAGGCCCAAAAAGAAACCACCGGGGCAACTAGAAAGTATTTTGAACTAAATGAAAACAAAAACACAACATGTCAATATGTATAAGTATGCCTTATACAGTGATTAGAGGGAAATTCAGAAGTTTAAGTACCTATATTAGAAAAGAAAGGTTTCATTTTGCCTACGTTGCCCAATTTGTTCATATAAAGTGGCTTGTCGTATTCTCTTATAATCATTCTAATTCTGAAGGGTTGGTAATTAATGTCCCTAATTTCACCCAAGACTAAGGAAGAAACAGAAAATCTAAAGCTCTATAATAAGAAAAAGAGAATCATTACTTAAAAACCTGCCCTCCCTTCCTACCACACACACAAAAAGCCCAAGCTAGATGGCTTTATCCAGTAAATTCTATCCAACAATGAATAAATTACAGCAATCCTACACAAATTCTTTCATAAAATAGAGGCAGGGGAACTTCTCAACTCATTCTACAGGACCAGTATTACGTTTTCATCAAAGCAAGACAGGTATGACAAGAAAACTAGAGATCAGTATCCCCTGTGAGCATGCACATGAAAGTCCCTAACGTGACGTTAACAAATGAAATGCAGAAACATATAAAAAGATTAAAACCACGATGAAGTGAGATCTATGTGACAATGACATTTATGGGGCTCCTCTCTTCTCTTTGTTCTGACATCACCCTTCGGACAGATTTAAACTGTGGTAGTGTAGCTGTGTGGTCCCTTCATGTATACACTAACCAGTGTATACCTTTCTTGGTGGTTATGCATAAGGTGTATGAAATAAAGTAACCTAATCCTCTTGAAATTATGGATACCAAAAATAGATTAAGGATACCACAAAAGGAGCAAGAAGATTTCTACTTTTAGCCTTGATGCTAAGGGTTAAAACAGGATTTAAAACAAACAGACAAAGATGAAAAATTAGGAAAGCAATGGGCTTGATTCTCAGTTTGGTAATATCCAGGACTTAAAATAATTAAGAACCAACAAGATCCATGTGGAAGATAAATTTAGCTGGTTTAGTTTTCCTCGAGTGAGAAATGACACCCTAATTGTTGGAGAAAAGGCACTGTATCTTCAGAAATACAAATAAGATTTTGAAGAGATGGCGGCGTGTTCCTTTCTCCAACCTCATGTTAACTCAAGCACTGAAATCAGTGCTAATATTTAGGTTTATCTATATCTGGTCACCAGTTGACAGAACTTTCCAACTCCTAAAAGGTTCACATCTAGGTTCTTGCTTTTAGAGATGGTTATCAGCAGGAGGATGATGCACCTTGCCACCCATCTAACCATCATAAAAGTTAGCCTGGTGGACAAATCAGTTTGTTAGCATCCATCACTCAGTCATGTCTGTCTCTATAACCTCAAGGACCGTAGCCCCCCAGGCTCCTCTGTCCATGGGATTTCCCAGGTAAGAATACTAGAGTGGGCTGCCATTTCCTCTTCCAGGAAATCTTCCCGAACCAGGGATCGTTGGGCAGGCAAATTCTTTACCACTGAGCCACCTGGGAAGCCAACTATACAGGATAAACCCACAAATACAGTCCATAATACATTTGGGGTGACAGATGAATGAAAGCTATGGCATTTTCAGGAAATACCTGCAAACACCTAATACTTTAATACCCATGTCTAGGAATTAAAAACAAAATGCAACCATATTCAAGTGATCATTCATTTCTGCATGGTTTAGAATGTAACCGTCAACCACAGCATCAATAAGTTAGCCAATTCTGCACTATAAATGAACATAAAAATCTAATAGTTTAAAATCTGGGGCTGTGTGACAAAGATTATTTCCATTTTTAAAAAGGAATGCTTCAGAAGAAGGAAAGACTGTAAAACCATAAGAGAGACAAAGTCTCTGCATGTCACAGGAGATCTGAAATAACACAAATGCCAACTAAAAAAAAAAATTCAAGCTAATTTTGAAATAATGAAGTGAGGATACAGGTACATAGTTTGTGGCAATGCTTGTAATACTTCATTTCCAGTAACTGAAAGCAGGATCAAAATTTTGAGCAGATATGTCCAGGTAAACTATGTGCAGAGCAAATATACAGACTCATTAAACATGACTAACTTCAAAAATTAAATCTGGCTGATCATACATAACAAACCAAAATTGATATGTTTTTCTGGATGAATTTCAAATATGCCAACATAACATTTCTACATTGTGAATTAAAAAAAATTCATAACAATTCTATAGACCATATGCAAGTTTATTTAAATAATTTAAAACTGCACAGAAAGCTAATTCATAAGAATAAAAATAGATGGTTTAGCAACCAAATACAAGCACCACACCAAAAGCAGATTACACACACACCACCAAAGTCTTTGGAAGATGAAGGCAACATTAATATCTCAAGTAATTTTATGAGAATACTTTACTTATATGATAGTCAGATGTTACCAAAACATCTCAAAATATGTAGGGCCCACAAATATTTCAGTTTCAAGTCTTCCCTTCAGTTTTCTTGTCAATATATTAATGATTCTTCTTAGATATTGTACAACAATTAGTCTAGATTGACAAATGGGCTATCGAAGCCACTATCTTGCTGGCTAGACAGAGGAGCAATTAATTTTCTCGAAGGCAGCGGACACATGGCAGGTGGTACTATACTGCTCAGTTCTTTGAATTCTGACTTTAATGTATCAGCTTTATGATGAGGTGGGTGTCCAAGAGTCATGCTGCTCTTCCCTGGCTGGGAATATGTGATTTCTTCTGACAGGTCTGGAGCATGACCACTCTGACATTTCGTAGGCTGATGAATCATGTTTTCCTCTGAGTCTGAAAGACAGGTGGCTGCTGAAAACGGTTTGAAATTCACAGATTCAACAAGCGAATCCAGGGTGTCTTGCGGCCCACCATGCAAAAATGACACTTCATGACTGCTACAGGGTAGAGTGGCAGTGTTGGAACGCCAGCCTGAAGGCTCACTCAGGTCCCCTCCATCCTCTACGGGAATTTCCTTCACACCCAAACTTGGACTTTTCTCAGATGCAGCGTTTTCACTTTCCATTAGTGGATTACATTTATATACTTTTAAACCAAGTCTTTCATTAGGACTTCGAAAAGTAATGTGTGTGGATTCAGACTCAGAAAGATCAGGGATATATCTAGATGAAGGTTTATTTCCGAAGGTTCCAAGGAATGGGTGTGCGTTTGAGAGCTGGAGTGATTCGGAGCCAGGATCACCAAGGAGGTCTTCCTTCTTGTGTAAACCTAAGCTTCCTTCATCTTCGCAAGGCACAAACTCAGGAGAAACACTCCTTGGCAAAACGTCTACATGTTTGTGACGGTTACCCCTGAACTGAAAGTCCAGGTGCGACTCTCTGGGACACTTGGGCTTCCCGTCCCCATGCTCTTCATCCTCTAACTGCCTTCGCAGGTTACAGGCAGCCCTCCTCTTAGGAATTTGGTCGCACATACTTCTGGGGACAGTTTTTAGACTGTTTGATTTGCTTTCCGTGTGACATGGTATATTCTGATTCACATCATTTCTTTTTAATTTTTCAACTCCAGCCAGCCTCTCTGAAGTCAGAGGCAATACTCCTATGTACAAGGGAACACAAAATTAGGGGAAAACAGAATTAGCAGAAAATTAACACTGAAAGAGGAGGGGAAAAAACATGTTTTTATATATTTCCAAGCAATGCATATATATTTTATCATTCTCAAAGAAAATGCATCAATACTGAACATTTTTAAATCTCATATATATATATATGATAAAGCTGAGTAATTTTGCAATTGCAATCTATTATTATTATCCAGCTGATCTATTATTTTATGCAATAGGTGATACAGCATTTCAACAGCCAACTGCAACATTTCCAACTTGCTCTGATGTCAAGTATGGAGTTTCTGATGAAGAAAATCTGCTGGAAGGACCCCCCACCCCAATTCAAGACACACACACAACATATTCTTTCAAAGCTAAAATAGTTTCTGATTTAATTAGCTAAGACACTAAATCTGATCAGAGGCAGAACTCCACAATGCATAGAATCAGAGGCATCATATGTCGGAGTTGGGTACTATGGCCCCTAAAATCCATATAAAGGATTTGCAACTGCTGGGAACATTAGACCAAATCCAGAAAACTTTTCATGTTATATGCCATTGTCCCTTTATAGCCAAGGTTCACATCACCATTCCAAAATTTACACAAATAATCTTTGTGCTTCTATTTGAAGAATGTTTACCAACATTCAACTCAGGAATTTCTGAACAATCTTTGCTTCTTGCTCTCTAGAAGTTCAACTGAATTTTGGAAAAAGCTTCTCATTTGTAGCTTCTTGGGAAGCTGTACCTTTTATCATTATGAACTTTCACTTTGGTCAGTTTAATGCTAACTCACATTTACCTAATACTGTATTTAACTCTATAATTTATCTAATATCAATCTACATTGCTTGGTATATCACTCTCTAGCCCTGTATTTTGAATTGTTGATGATGGTCTTATCTGAAATAACATATGTCTACAATTTTTAAAACTGTTTGAAAATTATGCTCTTTTATTACTGAGTTTAAGCAACTCATGTTTAGTGTGACAGCTGTTTCAATCTACTATTATTTTCAATTTACCTATGCTTTCCAGATGTGTTTTTCCTTTATAGAGTATTAGATTGAAAATGTTTTCTTCCAAGTTTTACCCTTACTACTTTGAAAGTTATATATTCTAATTCTCTATTCAGTTCAGTTCAGTTGCTCAGTTGTGTCTGACTCTTTGTGACCCCATGAATTGCAGCACTCCAGCCTCACTGTCCATCACCAACTCCCGGAGTTTACTCAAATCCATGTCCATCAAGTCGGTGATGCCAAACAGCCATCTCATCCTCTGTCATCCCCTTCTCCTGCCCCCAATCCCTCCCAGCATCAGGGTCTTCTCCAATGAGTCAACTCTTCGCATGAGGTGGCCAAAGTATTGGAGTTTCAGTTTCAGCATCAGTCCTTCCAATGAACACCCAGGACTGATCTCCTTTAGGATGGACTGGATGGATCTCCTTGCAGTCCCAGGGACTCTTGAGAGTCTTCTCCAACACCACCGTTCAAAAGCATCCATTTTTGGCACTCAGCTTTCTTCACAGTCCAACTCTCACGTCCATACATGAACACTGGAAAAACCATAGCCTTGACTAGACAGACCTTTGTTGGCAAAGTAACGTCTCTGCTTTTTAATATGCTATCTAGGTTGGTCATAACTTTCATTCCAAGGAGTAAGCGTCTTTTAATTTCATGGCTGCAATCACCATCTGCAGTGATTTTTGGAGCCCAAAAAAATAAAGTCTGACACTGTTTCCACTGTCCCCCCAACTATTTGCCATGAAATGATGGGACCAGATGCCATGATCTTAGTTTTCTGAACGTTGAGCTTTAAGCCAACTTTTTCACTCTCCTCTTTCACTTTCATCAAGAGGCTTTTTAGTTCCTCTTCACTTTCTGCCATAAGGGTGGTGTCGTCTGCATATCTGAGGTTATTGATAGTTCTCCCGGCATCTTGATTCCAACTTGTGCTTCTTCCAGACCAGCGTTTCTCATGATGTACTCTGCATTAAGTTAAATAAGCAGGGTGACAATATACAGCCTTGACGTACTCCTTTTCCTATTTGGAACCAGTCTGTTGGTCCATGTCCAGTTCTAACTGTTGCTTCCTGATCTGAAGATAGGTTTCTCAAGAGGCAGGTCAGGTGGTCTGGTATTCCCATCTCTGTCAGTTTATTGTGATCCACACAGCCAAAGGCTTTGGCATAGTCAATAAAGCAGAAATAGATGTTTTGGCTATGCTGGGTCTTCAGTGCTATGCACAAGCTTTCTGTAGCTGCAGTGAGCGGGGGTTACACTCTAGTTGGGGTGTGAGGACTTCTCGTTGAAGTAGCTTCTCTTATTGCAGAGCACAGGTTTAGGACACAAAGCTTCAGCAGTTGTGACACACAGACTAGAGTGCATGGGCTTCGCAGCCGTGGCACGTGGGCCCAGGAGTTGCAGCTCGCAGGCTCGGGAGTACATGCTCAGCAGCTGTGGTGCACAGGCTTAGTTTCCCCACGTGCTAGCCTTAAATTTTTATACACATACTTAAACTTGTATCTTTCCAGCAAACTCCAGAGTTATAAGTATCTGTATCTTCTCCTTGAAAATAATATAAGTTTTAGAATATTGTTAGTTTCCTCTACAATATTCTCTTACATGTTTCTGAGGATACTGTATTTTTCTAACATTCTCACATCCTGTTGTTTGTTCTATTAATTCTATTTCTATAGGTGTAAGCACTGTTTTGAGGATTTTTTTTTTGTTATGTCTTGTTCTAAGTTTGGTTTCTTTTTTCATGGTGCTGCTTTCTATAAATATATAGTAATTCTCAGTTGAATGCATATCTTTTAGATGTCTTGAGCACAGTATCTGCTGGTTGTTTAAAGCAGTTGCAAGTGGAGTGGAAGTGAATGAGCAGTAGAGTAGAAAGATCTAATTGCTGATATTCTGGGCATGTGAGTTCTCAGTTTCTCCTTGGTATGGGCAGCCAACTAGAGTACTGCCCTGTTCCCAGACTGTTTTCTGTTGCTCTCACCCAGCTTAATACTGGGGTTCAGAAAGGGAAGTAAGCAGAAATAAAGACGGTGCCCCCACCTGGTTTTGGTTGCTCTGGAATACCAATTACCCCATTGGTATCCCCTAGGCTTCCTGCTTCTGGGATATACCAACACCATCCTGTGAGGAAGAGTTTCCCTATTGCTCCCACTTGTAACTGTCATCTTCTGGGAGCTCTGAACTGAGGTTTCCATCTTCAATCTTAGAATGCCTTTCTTCTTTCAGGGATTTCTCACAGCCTCTGAATTAGCAATTATAACTTTTAAAAGCTGAGTTATAATTTCTTCTTTCTCTCTATATTGTCACTTAAAATCCTTTCTATCCTTTCTAGGGATAGAAGAAGCAAAATGAAGCCGATGGGCAAGCTAAGTCTGCCTACTTGAACTGGAAACTCTATACTGTTTTTCCAGTTTCAGTAAAATATGCATATAATTTGATAAATTAGCTCTCACTCCTTACATTCCCTATTCTCCTACTAAAAATATTAAATATCTAAAAGAAAGAGAGAGAAAAATCTTTCAAGTAACTCATTTTCACATACCTGACTGTGTAGTTTTGCTCTGGGATCTATTAGAAATAGGTGTTTCCAGCAATTTTGCCATCATAGCAAGCTTGCTAGCAGCACTGATGATCTTCTTTTCAGCCCTGTGGGGAATTCCAGAAAATAAAATTAATAGCGTGTAGAGGAAGAAAACGAGTTTCCTTAGCCCCAGGACTTCTGTTTTCCTATATGCTCTGCCACCATTAAGAGCAGCACAGACATTAAGCCTCTCCTAATCCTCTACTCATCGTGTAGATACAGTTAATTCTGTGGCTAAGGAAAATGCTTACAAAATGACAAAATGCTGTCCTGGTACTCTCAGGACACATTGTTTAGACAGAACTTACCCTTCCTCCTTCCCATCATCCTGCAAAATCTGCTGGAGGCAAATCAAATAATATCTGCGCATCTTTCGGGCGGTTTCTTGACGTTCTCGCAATACCTCTGCTTTTACCATTTCTGCAGCTCTTTCCTTACTCTCCTGAATATAACGAAGCATATCACCTGGGGGCGGGGAGAATCCCCACAAAATGCATGTTTATTGGCAGTTTTTTCAAAATAAAGAGAGGCAGACTTCAGACCAATTTTCTGGGAGATGCAGTGACTGGAGATATAGCTTAAATATTATAGCTTAACACCATCATTAAAATGGAATATTTCGGTCACCATTTTAGTAGACTAAAAGGAGAAGTAATCTAAAAGTCCACTTAGAAAGATGACAGAACACAAATATGGTCAGAGAAACATAGCATATCCCCTACAGAAACTGTCATATTTTAAACAGAGATAAGAAATTATCATTAATATGAGGCACAGAAATTTATGCATTTCAATTACATGTCAAGTCAAGACAAGAGAAAAAGGAATATACTGAAAGGGTGAGGCAGCAAGGAAGAGAGAAGTAGACACAGAGAAAGGCAATATAAGCTGGAGAGATTCACAGCCTTCTGTTTACTTGTGCTCTGAAAACCCATGTTTCATTGTTTCTTCAATTCTTTCCATAGCACTTGTGAATATCCAACTAAATATAATACTAGAATCCATGAGAGGTATCCAAAATGCTATTGCAGGGAGAGATTTGAGACTCACGGTGCCTCCTGAAATTTTTACTTAAAAACAGTTCACAGCTTTCAAGTCTTCCTTTTATCTTTAACTCAATGTGCTTTGATTGGGACTACCACACCAAAGAACTGATGCTTTCAAACTGTGGTATTAGAGAAGACTCTTGAGAGTCCCTTGGACAACAAGGAGATCCAACCAGTCCATCCTAAAGGAAATCCGTCCTGAACATCATTGGAAGGACTGATGCTGAAGCTCCAATACTTTGGCCACCTGATGCAAAGAACTGACTCATTAGAAAAGATCCTGATGCTGGGAAAGACTGAAAGCAGGAAGAGAAGGGGATGACAGAGGATGAGATGGTTGGATGGCAACATCAATTCAATGGACATGAGTTTGAGTAAATTCCAGGAGGTGGTGATGGACAGGGAAGCCTGGAGTGCTGCAGTCCATGGGGTTGCAAAGAGTCGGACACAACTAAGCGACTGAACTGAACTGAACTCAACTGAACCACTCTTTAAGATTAACACTTTGTCCTAAATCCAGGGCTACATCCTACTGGTTGAATATCACCATCCCTATTGAATTAAGGAGTCTAATTCATAAAGGAATCCCATTCTATCAGCAAGCTCTTCCTGGAAATTACACATTCTATGTAAAAATGCTAAGTGGAAGACTATTTTTCATTATTTCAAGTGGGAAAAATTTTAATGGAGTACATGTCAATACAAAATATCCAACCAATTTCTAAAATGTAATACATGTAAATACACAACAAGTTATCACATTAGGATGAAAAAGGATGCTTAAAATTTCACTTTTTGATTAATTATTAACAAAAAGTTAATTTCTTTCTAGTAACATGGATTCTGTTAGAACAGCAACAACAAAGAAGCATATTCTTTATACTAAGTGGCATTTTCAAAGCATCTACAGCATGATTCTGATGATCTACCAATTATATTTGAAACTTGAGACATCTCCCACTCATTTTGTTTAAAAGGAATGCAAGCTTTAGAAGGCAAATATACATATCTCATACATAAACACTGGTATTGTTCTGAGATATATATACTAAGTATGTAATATTACAGTTAAAAACTGGGAGGTTTTCTACTAGGAAAACAAACCACATAAATAATTCTGTAGGATGTATTACACCACCTAGTACCACAAAGGTCTTGATAAACAAATTTACATGTATGACATAATCCATTATGAAAATAATAAGAAACCACAGAACAATTCCTAATAACATTAATTTTCTATGATCTTTAAAAGCTTATGGAGGAAAATAGTAACTCATTTAAAACTCATATGGCATTTTTTGGGGGACTAGTGATGTAAGTTGTAAGATTATAAAATTTTTAGGTTAATATTAGTGTCCAAGAAGAAAAATTCTGAAAGCAGTTCAAGATGGTATTATAGGAAATCCTGAATTCACCTCCTCCCATGGACACACCACATCTATAGCCACATATGGAACAACTATCCCTGAAAATGACCTGAGAACTAGCAGAAGAGTCACCCACAGCAAAGCAGACATATCAAGGCAAGTAGCAGAGGTAGATAACAGTCTTGTCAAAACCTTCACCTTGGACATGGCATCTCACAATTAGGAATAATAGCACAAAAACAAAGCTTCTCCCTGAGATGCAAGGGGTTTGAACCCACATCAGATGCCCCAACTCTTGGGACCTGAACCAGAGAGATAAGCCTCCAAAACATGTGGTTTTAGAAACCAAAAAGGTTTGGTTTACATCCAAGAGACACAAAGTGCTATAGGAAATGGAGATTCCATTCTTATAGGACCCATTCAGAGACTCGCTCAAGTTGGGAACCCAGTGCAAAAACAACAGCATGATACATGCCTAGACCTTATGTGAAGGAGATGCACTTGCTGACGTTAAAGTATCCGTCAGAAGGGCAGAATCTGTTAGAACTCTCCTAGGATCAGAGGTGCTCGCGGGAGCCATTTTGGCACCCAACTTCTACCTTACAAGTGCTGGCCCTACAGGCACCATTTTTGCACTCTCCCTCTGCCGTGCTGCAGCCATTTGTCCCACGTCTGCACTCCCTGCTTGCCCTGACACGCCAAACCCAGCAGGTGTGCACAGTCCAAGTGGGGGACATCCCCTGAATACCTGGCCTTGGGGACTAGAAGGCTTGTGTTTCTGGGCCCCACACGAATGAAACAACTGAAGAGACCATTCTTGGCAATCTACGACCCCCAGGACACAGCACCCTAAACACACCTTAGTCTTCCTGTGACCACCCCTTTGAGATTGGGAGAGGTAGCTCTCCTATTTCACATAATATATAGAATTAAACACATAGAGAGTGAAGCAAAATGAAGAAACAGAAATATGTTCCAAATAAAAGAACCAGACAAACCCCAGAGAGAAACCTTAATGAAATAGAGGTCAGTAACTTACCTGATAAAGAGTTCAAACTAATGGTCATAAAGATGCTCATTAATAAGAATGGATGAACACAGAGGGAACTTAAACAAAAAATAAACAGGAAATACAAGAAATGTTAGAGACTCACTTCAGATGTAAGGATATATAAAGGCTAAAGTGAAGGAATGGATCAATATTTCATGCAAATAGAAAGCAAAAGAAAGCTGAAGCAGTTACACTTATATCAAATAAAACAGACATTAAAACAAAGACTGTAATAAAAGACAGAGATGGACATTAGAAAATGATAAAGGGATCAACCCAACAAGAAGATATAAATAACATTTGTTAAAATTTATTCACCCAATATAGGAGCACCAAGATATATAAAACAGTATGATCAGACCTACAAGGAGAAATCAACAGTGATACAATAATAATAGGGGGATTTAATACCCCATTTGCATCAATTGGTAGCTCATCTAGGCAGAAAATAAATAGAGAACACTGGCATTAAACAATACAGTAGCCTAGATGAAGTTAAAAGATATGTAAAGACTATTTTACTCTAAAACAGGAGAATACACATTTTCCTCAAGTGCACATACAACATTTTCCAGGATATAGCACATGTTAGGCCACAAGTCTCAATGCACTTTTTAAAAACTGAAACCATATCAAGTATCTTTTCCAATCACAATGGTATGAAATTAAAAATCAAAAAAGGAAACTGGAAAAAGCACGAATATGTGGAGACTTAACATCATGTTACTAAATAACCAATGAATCAAAGGAATAAAAAATAAACCTAAAGATAAATGAAAAAATCAATAAAACATACCCAAATATACTGGATATAGCAAAAGCAGTTTTAAAAGAGAAGTTCATAGCAATACAGGTAGGCCTTGTGAAACAATGTTAAATAATCTAACTTTACACCTAAAGGAGCTAGAAAAAGAAGAAAAAAGAAGGGACAAAGTTAGTAGAAGGTAGGAAATAATAAAAACGAGAACAAAAATAAATTGAAACATAAAAAAATAGAAAAATTCCATGACAAAAAATGGGCAGAAGACCTAAATAAATATTTCTTCAAAGAAGAAATACAGATGGCCAACAGGCACATGAAAAGATGTTCAACATCTCTAATTATTAGAAAAGTGTAAATCAAAACTACAGTGAGGTATCACCTCACACTAGTGAGAAAGGCCATCATTAAAATTTTACAAAAAACAAAAGATGGAGATGGTGTAGAAAAAGGAAACCCTCCTACATTGTTGGTGGGAATGTAAATTGGTATAGCCACTATGAAAAACATAATGCAAGTTTCTCAAAAAACTAAAATTAGAGTCACCATACAATCTAGCAGTACCACTTCTGGGTATATATCTAGTGAAAACTCTAATTCAAAAAGATACATGCATCCCCAATGTTCATAGCAGCATTATTTACAATAGCCAAGATACAGAAGAAAACTAAATGTTCACTGACGGATGAATGGAAAAAGATGTGGTACACATATATACATACACAATGGAATACTACTCAGCCACAGAAAACAATGAAATAATGCCATTTGCAGCAACATGGATGGACCTAGAGATTATCATTCTAAGTGAATAAAGAAAGAAAAAGACCAATACCATATGATATCACTTATATGTGGAATCTAAAATATGATACAAATGAACTTATTTGCAAATCAGAAAAGGGAATTCCCTGGCAGTCCAGTGCTTAGGACTCCACAATTCCACTTCAGGGGGCATTGACTGGATCCCTGGTCACTGAACTAAGATCCTATAATCCACATGGTACCACCAAAAATACTACCCAGAAACAGATTCACAGGCATAGATAACAAATTTATGGCTACCAAAGGCGAAAGGAGGTGGGGTAGGAATAAATTAGGAGGTTGTGATTAGCAGATACAGACTAATACATAAAAAAGGGATAAATAACAAAGTCCTACTGTGTATCAGAAGGAACTATATTCAATATCTTATAATAAACCATAATGGAAAATAATATACATATTATGTATAGTATATATTATATATACACATATAAATAAGTTCCTTGGCTGTACACCAGAAGCTAACACAATGTTGTAAAGCAACTATACTTCAATAAAAAAAATTTTTAATGAAAGAAGAGAGAGAAAAAAACAAGATTTACTTAAAAGAAAAACAACAACAACAAAACTGAGAAAAGATCAATAAAACTAATATCCGGTTCTTTGAAAAAAGAAAGCTGACGAATCTTTAGCTAGACTAAGAAAACCCAGAACCAGATGGCTTCACTAGTAAATTCTACCAACTATTCAAAGAAGATATAATACCTACCCTTCTCAAATTCTTGTTAAAAAAAAAACAGAGAAGGGGATATTCCCAAACGCATCTTATGAAGCCAGCATTACCCTGATGCCAAACTAAACAAGAACACCATCAAAAAAAAAAAGTTACAGGCCAACATCACTGATAAACACAGATACAAAAATCTTCAAAATACTAACAAATCAAATTGGGCAATACATTAAAAGGAGCATACACCATGATCAAGTGGGATTTAACCCAGGGATGCAAGGACTGTTCAACATTCACAAGTCAATCAGTGCAATATACCACACATTAACAAAACAAAGGATAAAAACAGTGTGGTATTGACATAAAAACAAAGAGATCAATGGAACAAAATATAGAGCCCAGAAATAAACTCACCCACATGTGGTTGATTAATTTACAACAAAGGAGGCAAGAATATATGATGGGAAAAGGACAATCTCTTCAAAAAATGGTAACGGAAAAACTGGACAGCCACATGCAAAAGAATCAGAGTGTACCACTTTCTTATAACATATACAAAATCAACTCAAAGTGGATTAGGGGCTTGACTGTAAGACTAGAAAACCATAAAACTCCTAGAAGAAAATATTGGCAGTAAACTCATTGACACTGGTCTCAGTGATTTTTTTTTTTAGACCCAACTCCAAAAGCAGTGGCAATCTAAGCAAAAATAAATAAGTGAGACTACATCAAACTACAATGCTTCTGCACAGCAAAGGAAACCATCAAAAAGATAAAAAGGCAACCTATTAAATAAATGAGAGAAGATATTTGCAAATTATATATCTAATAAGGGATTAATTTCCAAAATATATATAAAGAACTCACACAACTCAGTATCAACAAGAAATAAACAACCTGATTAAAAAATGGGCAGAGGAATAGATAGATTTCCAAAGAAAACATAGAGATGACCAACAAGTACATGTTCAACATCACTAATCATCATGGAAATGCAAGTCAAAATCACAATGAGGTATCACCTCACAGCTGTTAGAATGGCTATTATCAAAAGACCAAGATGTGTTAGTGAGCATGTGAAGGAAAAGAGAAACCCTATGAATTGGTGATGGGAAGGTAGATTGGCATAGCCACTATGGAGGTTCCTCAAACATACTCAAACAGTATGGAGATTCCTCAAAAAATGAAAAATAGTACTACCACATAAACAAGCAATTTCACTTCTGGATATTTATCAAAAGAAAGTGAAAACACTAATTCAGAAAGATCTATGTGTGCCAATGTTCACTGCAGAGCATGTACAATAGCGATGCTATCCAAACAACTTAAGCATCCATCAGTGGATGAATGGATAAAGATGTGTTATAGACATGCAATGATACTACTCAGCCATAAAAAAAAACAAAATCTTGCCATTTGTGACAACCTGGGTAGATCTTGAGGGCATTATGCTAAGTGAACTGTCAGAGGAAGACAAATACTGTATGATTTCATTTATATGTGGAATCTTTAAAAAAGAAAAAAAAAAGGCAAATGAACAGAGAACAGACTAGTAGTTGCCAGAGGGGAGAGGTTGAACAGCGGGCAAAATGGGGCAGAGGGTCGATAAGTACAAAGTCATGAGGATGAGGAAGTACAGCACAGGTGACTATAGTGAAGAATACCTTACAGCAGCCCCCCTCTTATCCCTGGGGAATACATCCCAAGACCCTTAATGGATGCTTGAAACCACGTACTGAACCCTATATATACATTTTTTCTGATACATACATCGCCTTCTTAACATTTAATTTGTAAATTAGGCACAGTAAGAGATTAACAACAGTAATTAGTAAGACAGAAATTTTAACAATTTAATAAAATTATGTGAATGTGATCTCTCTCTAAATATCTTATTGTGCATATTTAATGTCTTTTTCATTTTAACTAAGCACTTATCATCCACTGTATCTGTAACTTTTGCAGTTTGAGGTGTGACAGCAAAACTATCATGAATTGTTTTCTTTCTTCACCATTTTGTGGGTAGAAGATCTGTCCTTACTATAGATCTCAGCAACCTCACCATATGATTTTTTCTTTCCTTATTAAGTCGAGAACTTTTACCTTTTTACTTAAAGGAAGCACTTTACAGCTTCTCTTTGGCATATACAAATTGCTAACATCCCTATTCTTGCACCTTGCGGCCTTTATTAAGTAAAAGAAGGGTTATGAACACAACCACTATGATATAGTGATAGTGGGTCCAATAACCGAGGTGGGTACTAAGTGACCAACAGGCAGAATATGCTGGACAAAGGGGTGATTCACTTCCAGAGGCAGACAGCATGATGGCTGAGATTTCATCATGCTACTCAAAATGGCCTGCAATTTAAAACTTACTATTTATTCAGTTTTCCATTTCATGTTTTTGGACTACAGTAGACCACAGGTAACTGAAACCATGAAAGTAAAATCACAGATAAGAGGGAACTATTGTATATTTTGTAACTTTGTATGGTGATGGGGAAACTAGACTTATTGTGGTGATCACTTCTCAGCATAAACAAACACCGAATCAATTATGTTACAGGCCTGAAACTAATATAGTGATATATGTCAATTATACTTTAAAATATATATACACATACATTTTAGTCCCAAAAAACCCCAGGATAATTAACAATATAAAAATACCTCTATCCTTGTGCCACTTCCAAAATTTTGGTGGCAAACCCCAAATTTACTTGGGTAAAATCACCTATTATGACATAATTTAGAAAAGCTACCAATGATCTCTTCTAAAAACAGGTAACATAATGTCAGATTAAGGTAGTTCAGAAAATTCTCCCAAATTACTACTATTAGTTACAAAAAAGACCCAAACCACCTTGAAACCTTAGGGATCTCTTCAGAGACTTACGCTTAATCTTTTTTACAGCTTTAATGTATTGCCCGCGAAGTTCTTCCAAGGCCACCTCGTTGCATGGCAGGCAGGCATTTTCAATAGCTCCTTCTGACAGTGACCTAAAAAAATACAGAGATTAAGTGAAAAATGTAATTTGAAAAATATGCATATATAATTTTAAAATATATATACATAAATATATATTCTAATAAAACAAGATGTGTGCTAAGAAATACACATCTGAGGATCTCTACTATAATTATTTAGGAGAAAAAGGCAAACTTAAGTGTTATGGTTACTTATATCACAATAAATCCACATGATGAAAACCTACACAGTTACTGAAGAGTAGATTATAAAAGTATATCTAATGGCATGGGGGAAGAGTTTATCTTATAATACTAATAAAAGGCCACAAAGTAGCTTATATAATAATCTCAATTTTTAAAACATGTGCACATGTTGTGTTTGTGTGAAAGTGAAAGTCACTCAGTCATGCCTCTTTGTGACCCCTTGGATATACAGTCCATGGAATTCTCCAGGCCAGAATATTGGAGTGGGTAGCCGTTCCCTTCTCCAAGAGATCTCCCCAACCAGGGATCAAAGCCCGGTCTCCCATATTGCAGGCAGATTCTGTATCAGCTGAGCCACCAGAGAAGCCCAAGAATACTGGAGTGGGTAGCCTCCCCCTTCTCCAGCAGATTTTCCCAACCCAAAGACTTTAAATAAAGAGTATCTTCTGGGTTTATACAACCTTTCTGTATAAACGCGAACCCAAAACAACAAAGTAAATGGCAACGGGACCATACCTATCAAAAAAAAGAATATCTTCTGGGAATAGGGTTTTAAAAGATCTTTTTTTTTTCCATACTTTTTGCTATGCAACAGTAACAGTAATTTATATTCTTGGTATGATAATATTGATAGGACTGTTATTTTTTTAAAAAGTAAAGATACTCAGAAATAAACAGTTTCTTTGAAATAGTAAAAGTCTACCTCGGTGGTAGTGTTTTACAAAGTGTTCTCAGTTCTTCTAATTTATTCTTCATGTCATTGTTTTCTTCTATTAATTCTTCAACGACTTTAGTATTCTCTTCTAAAAAAAGAAAGTGTATAGTATATTGGTCAATCTCTTTTTCTCTGTCTTTCCCTTAAATTACCAGCACAAATGTTCATAGAGGAGACTGCCAAATTTCCAGTCATTCCCTGTGTCATTGTTCCCTGAGAAACCCAAATCTGACCACCCACTGTTCTATATTCTCAGCACTTTAAATCTGTATTCCATTTTCAATTCATTTTGGTTACAGACTGTCCTGGAATAAATCTCCAATTGCTTTATATGAATGTGGTTTGCCTTCCAGTTAGATGGAAGGCTTTATTTAGAAATACAGGTTTCCTAATTCCATGTCCCTCATGGACCCTGGTATGCAGTCTATGCTCATATAAGTTGATCATTGAACAAGCACCTCAATACAAAATTAAAAGATAAAAGTTAAGCTTAAGTAGGTAACATTTTCAAAAATAACATAAGATCTTCAACTCTTTGAACTTAAAAAAAAAAAAAATAAGGAGACTGATGGAGTCCCTGTGGCACAGAGGACAAAGCATAAATTTCAGTCAGAGAGACACAAGTTTAAGGCCTTCTTACCCACTGGATGAGCTTAGGCAAACTAATCTTTCTGAAACTGAGTTTTTTAATGTGTAAAATGGGGATAGTGTTATCGACCTTGATGATTATAATGGAAATAAAATAGTAAATGCACAGCACCTTATACAAGGTCTGGCAATAACAATGTTTAATAAAATGAAAATGGCACCCCTTGTTTCCTACTATTCCAGCCTTTCAACACACCCTACAAGTTGGGGAATGAATCATTCTGTTCTCCCAGTGATGGATACAGCTTGTATATTTCTAATCCACTCACTCTTACTCCATTACTTTTCAATAAATGCTACCATGACAGTGGAAAATGGAATTTAAGAAACAATAAAGCAACCAAAATAGCAAAAATTTTATCAACTAGCAGATTTACATTAACACAAACACTGAAATTTTCAAATGGCTTAAATGCTGACCCTGACCTCTTTTATTAGCTTGCTGTTTTGAGCTAACTATCAACTTTCTTGGATTATTTCTAAGTCCACAAATTACAGAAGTAATCAGCCTCAAAAAACACTATGTAGAATAACCATTGTATGATCACAATGTACAGTGCTAAATATTAGTATCTGTAAATAACCACAACCTACTGCCCTTATCATTTTATTATATAAAGCAATTTCTTGATTTTCATCAAATTTTACAACAGCCTCCTCCAGGAAGAGAAATTAACCACCACAGTTGGACAAATTTACTCGCTCTCCAGCCTCTGTTAAAGACCACGGGAAATGCAGTTGTTAAAATTTTTATCTCAAAATGCTAAAACACTTTCTCAGCCTTAAAGCAATTATGACCTATCTTTAACAGAATTAGGAAGCAGTAATGGGAGTAAGTGGCTACTCTTGGGCAAAAATGTTTACCTGTGTGCTATGATGCCAGGTACTATGATAAGGCTGGGACAGGATTTAATCCTTGTCACCACCACACTCCAAAGGAGAATACAGACATTAAATAATCACAAGGATGACAAATGTTACAAAACTCATAGGAGCAGTGGGAAATGTCTAACAGAAGAAACTAGCCAAGTCTGGGGTGCTTAGGAAAGCCTCTATAGGGAAATCATGTGCCAGGGGGTTGACGAATAGGCGTTAGCCAGGCATTGTGACCAGGATGGGGAGACAGATGCTGTTGGTAAATGAAGAGGTGCACAAAGGCCCAGAGAGTCAGTGAAATCCCTGCCACAGCTCTGTGAGAGGATAAGAGGGCTGGGCAGGACATGAGCCTGAAAGGCTGGCAGAAGTGGGATCAGGAAGGGCTTCTTAAATTATGTCAAATTTTGTTTTACACTGAGGGCCAGACAAGCCACTGAGGCGCTTTAAACAACAGTGTCACAGTCATATTTACTTTTCTAAAAGGCCGCTCTAGCTTCCTGATGGAGAATGGATTGGAAGTAAGACTGGAAGCAGAACGAGATGACTGTTGTCCAAGCAAATGAGAGAGGTGGATGGAGGAAAAAAGTGAACCTACCCGCCTGGGTCTGGATGAAACATTGTTTGGGACCCTTGCATTCAGTCCTTCCTTCATTCAAGCATTTATTACTGTCTTGTATATAATGGGTACCAGACTATAAGGATAAATGAGATACCATCTCAACAAATTTGTAGGTTAAAAAGATGTTGGGCAAGTAATCAAAAAGTGAGATACAGAATGTTACCAGAGGAGGAGACAAATGTCCTGAGGCCACACGGAAGCAGCCCATCTAGCCCACACTGGCAAAAATCAAGGCTCTGCAGACAAGATATACTCTCAATTGAATTCTAAAGGATGGGCAAGAGTAGGGCCAAAATAAGAATGAGAGGGGAAAGCATAGGACAGAATGACATTATAAAAGAAAATTCCTGACCAGCTCGGTCATCTGAAATATTTCAAAGGCAAGGAATACAGAGCACAGGGTGTAAGTCAACACCCTGTGAAAGGTAAGAGGGAGCAGCCTTGTGAGCTCAATAGCTCCCTTCTTCAAGAGGGCAATAGGAAAAGGCAGAAGACGGGCCTTTTAGGCAACTCCCCGACAGCATTGTGAAGAACAGATGGAGACCCAGACGCCTTGGTTCATGTCTCTTCCCTCTGCCTGGAATGCCATTCTCTTTGGCAAACACATTCATCTTTCAAGGCTTAGTCAAGCCTTCCTTAACTTTAATAGGAGGAAGATTCAACTAACAACCTTTCTTCCTAGTTTACATGAACGTACTGCCAGCTACCCAGAGCTGCAATTATTCATCAATGTTTTCAGTTCTCCTCCTTTAATGATAAGCTTCTTGAAGCAAGAGAACAGAGTCCTGTATATCTCCATCAGAAGTGGAATTTTGTCTGATGTCTTCACTGCTATACCCCCAGTGCCTAGAACACTGCTTGACACACACTCAAAAGCTATTCAATCAAAAAAAGGACTAAGTTCAGTAATAATTATTTGCCTAATAAAAATAAGATCCAAATTAGTATATAGTAATTCCCAAAGATAATCAGTGGTTCCATTAATTAAAATGTCCCATTTGAACATTCCAACCAGGATCAAGGAGATTTACACTTGTAGCAGTGTTACTTCAAATGCTAACCTCCAATTTTTTCCACTACAGCTCTGTGCTTCCTTTCTAAATGCTGAAGATGCCTACAGCATTTCTCCAGTTTTCTTTTCAGATCTTGACATTCCTGCTTTGCATTTTCAAGTTCTTGGAAGCAGTGTCCACAGCATGAATCTTTAATTTCAAGGATCTTTTTCTTATCTGCAAAAATTAAATGATAGCACACTTTTATATCAATTAGACTATGAGAAGGAAGGAAACCAGATGACATGATTAAAGGCTATAGTCTAACTGAAAAAAGTATGATGCTTAAGAAAAAGAGACTTGAATTTGAATCCTGTTTTCACTATTTATTTTACCAGCTGTTGCATTACTTAACCTCTGAGACTCAGTTTCCTAATATGGAAAATTGAATAATATCATCTATTTTAAAAACTGCTCTGAAACACAATGCTCAGATCTTAGTATCGAATACAATTGTCCACTAAAAGGAGCCAGAGTTCTTCAAGGAATGGCTGACTACAGTACTGAGACAGGGTACATTCAAGATGAGACTAGAATATTTTGCTAGGAGAAGGACACTCTTATGGTGTTGAAAGTATCTCCCCACAGATTCCTTATTAGTTGTGAGGGAGAAAAAAAACACAGTAATTATACAGTGAAGAAACTGGACAACAAGAAATATGAACATCACACATTTCCAGGTGTGGCATCACACCACTTGTGCAGTGGTCCAACTAAGAAAACACAATCCATGACAATCATGAAGAAACACCAGACAAACTCAAAATGAGGAAAGTTCTATTAAAAGCCAGGGGTTGACAGGTATTAGGGAGAGTGAAGAATATATCTCTCAAAAATATCAATGTCATAAAAGGCAAAAAGAGGCCACAGAAATACCCCAGATTAAAAGAGATTAATGAGACGTGACATCTAAACATAATACGTGACCCCAGACAGGCTGCAGTACCATAAGGGGAAAAAATGCTATAAAGACTTTATCAGATCAATTGACAAAATTAGAATACAAAGAGCAAATTGATAAAACTATGTAACAGAGATTTTCATCTAATGTTAAATTAGATGTAAAAGTATATAAGAAAAATCCCTATTTTGGGAAAATACACACTGAAGTATTTGGGGGTAAAAGGGCATAATGTATATAGTGAAAGTGAAAATGAAGTTGCTCAGCTGTGTCCAACTTTTTCAACCCCATGGACTGTAGCCTAACAGGCTCCTCCATCCATGGGATTTTCCAGGCAAGAATATTGAGTGGGTTGCCATGTCCTTCTCTAGGAGATCTTCCCAACCCAGGGATTGAATCTGGGTATCCCGCACTGTAGGCAGACGCTTTACCCTCTGAGCCAACAGGGAAGTCCTATAATGTATATAACCTATCCTCGAAAGGTTCAGAAAGAAATGAAATGTTCACAGACACATACACATGGAGGAACACAAATGGGGTAATATGCTATCACTAAGTGTATCTAGGTAAAGGGTATATGAGTGATCTTTGCAACTATTTTTATTTTTGCAACTTTTCTGTAAGATTTGACATTATCTCCAAATTAAAAAAAAAAAGATATAAAACTGTCAGGAGGTATAAACGTACAAATATTGTCTGGCACAGAACCTGGCATAGAGCAAGTATACAATAAGGAATAGCTATGGCTACTAGTAACATATAAAGTTTATAAAATTTAAGTAATATACAAAAATGACAGATCATTACTATTAATATAACTGATATAATGAAGTAGGAATACAAATTGACACAGGCTCAGAGGCCAGTATCTAAAATGTTGATGTAAAAACATTGGTCCAGCAAAATTATTCTTAGCTCTCTTACTTTTCAGTTTCTTTCAAATGGTATCATTTATGTTTACAAACATCAAAGGATTAATGAAACATCACCATACATGGCACTTACACACTTCATTGAAGACACTGTTTTGTAAAACCAGAAACCAGGCCAAATGCCCATCGACAAGAAAATAGATTAATTATACTATATTCATACAACAGAATACTATACAACAATGAAAATGAATGAACCAGAGCCATATACATTAACAAAGACAAATTTTAGAAGCTCAATATTAAATGGAAAAAAAACAAGTTACAAAGACTAAAACAAGTATTAAACCATTTTTTTAATGTTAAAAGACAAATGAAAGCAATAGCTTTTTAAGGATACCTATATTTGGTCAAAACATAAAGAAAAGCAAGGTCAGAATATTTATTACCTCAGTTGGTGGGGAAGTTATGGGGATAGGATGATGATGAAACACGGGCATCTTCAACAGTACTGGTGATGTTCTACCTCCTAAGTCAAATAGTGGGTTCCTGGTTGTTGGGTTGATAACTTACCTGTGCATTACACATATTTTTTGCATGTATCAATTATTTCATAATTAATATTTAAATTAGTTTTAAAAATGATAAAATATTAGGAGAATATAACCACACTACTAACAGAGGTACTCTCTGGTAGTAGGACTGTGAGGGGCTTGATCACATAGTAAATGTTTTGGATTATTCAACCCTTTCTAATGTTAATGTGTTTGTTTTTAGGGAAAAAAAGATTAAAGAAAGAATGTAAATCCTTCTATAGTCTGATTTGTCGTAAGTCAAAACTGATTTCTTTTTATATTGACTGGACCTCCCAAAGCCAAATGATATCTAAAACTCATTTCTATGCATTTCACAAATTAGGAAGTAACTTTCAAGTTATTCTAAATATAACAACAGACATAAAGTGACATTGAAAAGTAGGAAACAAAATACAAATTAGGATAGTATTACCCTGCTAATTGTTAAATTAGTATTTACTTAATTGGCAAAAAGATATTCGCAACCATCTAGAACCTAGAGGTAAGGGAAGAGGGTCTCTGGTCAGACGATGAGAGAAATAACATCAACTGATGTCTTAGAAAAGGCAGATGTTCTCTAGGACTCTGGTAATATGCCTACTGAATTTGAGAGTGTGGAAACTAAGGTTATTCACTCTGTACATGATTTCCTCTGGCAAGCCTTAGTTCTTTTCCAGGTTACAATGGAGACAGCAGACAAGAAACAGAAAAAAACATGTATAAGTTTGTAGGTGGGGGAAGGGAGCAGGCTACAAGGGGTGGATGTCCTGAGAGGACTGGAACTTACAAGAACTATGGCAGTTCCTAGTTCAAAATCCCAGTAAATGGACAGTATATGCCCATATTCCCCAGTGAGCTTTGAATACCTCAAGGGGCTGCAGCACGGTGCAATTCTTTTCAAACTAACAACTCTAAGTCACTAAGTTAAATTATTAATTCATCAGATATTCAAGGAACACAAACTATGTGCCATTCACTATGTGCCAGGTGGTAGAGAGGAGGAGAAAAAAACAGTGCCCCCCACCTGAAGAAAACCCCAAATACAGCAGGAAACACTTGGTACACTTCAGAAAGATTTCTATTAAAAATAGCTGAAATAAGCTTCAGTAACCTGAATGGAAAAGTCTCAGTGATTTGGCAATTCTCTTATGTGTAACCTCTGATTTCTCAACAAAGCCAGGGAATGAAAATATGACCGCTCTACTAAAATTTTCATTATTACCTTTATAATACGAGTCACTTATGAATGGAGAAAGACCATGAAAAGGGAGGAAATATGAGGGCCTACAGCAACCCTATCTTCTAATGTAAAATGAACCTAGGGAGGTGAGACACATAAAGTAGCAGTCATATCACCCATTTGTTCACTCATGAAAACTGTGCACATCTTTGATTTCCTTTTATCCTCAAAGCAACCCTCGGGAACTGGAATTATGGATATTGCAAAGACAAGTAGGAACAGAATCCCATTACCAGCTTCTGCTTCTTGTACAGCCGCCAAAGGCAGAGCATGGTGTCCAGACGTAGGCGCAGGAAGCATCGCCTGGACTCCGGGGTCTCCTCTGCCCGTGGCAGGATCCTTATAGATCTTGGTCATAATTCTCTGAAACAGATTATCTTCATAGTTAATGCCTATTAAAACTCTCTCTAATTAAAATGCTAATCATTTTCACTGCAACAGGGGGCAAATTCATTAGACATTTACAATACTAAGCTCATACCTTCCATGAACTGAAAGTAACAACAATAAAAATCTTTGAAACTTACATAGTATGCTATGTATCTAAATACTTCATGTTGTCATTTGTTGACAAGGAAAGGCCATTCAATTCTACTGTTAAGGAGAGAAACTGAGGCTCACCTAAGTGAAAATCTTGTACAAGACCATTTCCTCACTAGTATTTATTGAACACTTTCTGCATTCTACTTTCTGTTCTGGCAACATGGCTACTAACTCATTAATGGTGGGACATTTTTTTAAGACAATATATTTTCCAATTTTGGACAGCTAGTGAATCCCAAACAGACCAGATATCTTGAGAAAGCTGTCTTGTTTGATTGCTTAAAATACTTTATATATGCTTAATTCTGAAGCTTTGATTTTGAATCACTGTCAGGAAAGCTACCCATGTAGCCCAATAGAAGCAGAGGTCAACAGGTACAAAGACTGCAAATTCCAGGCAATCAAGACGCTATGAGGTTGAGACCAAAGGAGTAATAAAAAATGACCCCAAAGGCAGCTAATGTTTCCAATTTCTGCTCAGAACTGGAGAAAAGCCAAGACGGCAAAAAAAGTAGCAATCTTTTAGTCTTAGTTTTAAGTTGACATTGGTGGTAAGACCACACATCCTTAAATTTGTTTAAAAATTGTGTTCCAATTGCTATTTCTCTTTTCTTTTCGTCATTATGAACTGCTTTATTAATATACTTAGTATATAAATATAAATAACATGTTTGTTAAGGCATTCATTTTACTGGAAACTGTATTTTTAATTCATTGCAACTTGGCCATTTAAAATCTTGATAATCTAAACTTAATTGTTCTCACCAACAAAAAAGTACAGTAAATAGGTGAGGTGATGGATGTGTTAATTAACTAAATGGTGGAATCCACCCAGGGATCGAACCCAAATCTCTTGCGTCTCTTACATTGGCAGGCAGATGCTTTACCACTGTGCTACCTGGGAAGACCTTTTTACAATGTATATGTGTATCAAACCACCATGATATATACTTTAAACATCTTACAATTTTATTTGTCAATTACAGTGCAATAAAGCTGAAAAAAATTTTTTAATTAAATCTTGACATTTAAGTAATTTTAATGAGGACTTGTTTTATATATACTGATCACTTTTTTCCAGTCTTAAGTTTCATGAGAAGTTCAAAAAACCACAAATTTAATTAATTATAAATCACAGTTCTTCACATTTACGGCACTTATAACACAAATTTATAATCACTGCTTTTTAATCACTGCTTTATCTCAAGGTCCTGAGCAGACTTAGCTCTAAGACAGCAGAAGGCTGAGTACTACTCTTCTGTGACAAATTTCTGTAACAAATGCCAAATAAGACATTTCAGAGTCACCCTTCTCCCGAGAATGGAATCTGATCCCACTCAACATAAGCTGCAAAAGTCTAAGTTCTGAGCCAAATTATGTGAATTTGTCTCCATATACGTGTAAGACACATAAAGTCATACAGAGGGCCTTATCCTGCTTGCACAACTGTGTGCTCAGTCGCTCAGTCATGTCTGACTCTTTGTGACCCCATGGACTGTGTAGCACGCCAGACTCCTCTGTCTATGGAATTTTCCACACAAAAATACTGGAGTGGGTTGTCATTTCCTTGTCCAAGGGATCTTCCTGATCCAGGGATCAAACCCCCATCTCTTGTGTCTTCAGCATTGGCAGGCAGATTCTTTACTGCTGTGCCAGCTGGGAAGCCTGCACAACTATAAGCCCTATAAAAAGACCCCAGGGTTGATTCTATGTTAACATTAGGAGAATGGTTGTTGTGAGTTTCTTGACTTTTACAGTAGACAAAAGTTTGCTTCAGGAAAGCAAACTCGAAAGCATATAACATGATCTTCCCATCACTTCATACCTTTTAAGTTGCCATAAGTAATTTTTCTTAATTATATACTTTATCCAAAAATTCTCAATAAAATATTTTAAGCAGTAATCATGGGAGTTGTTCTTGCCCAGTGAATTTTACACTAAAAGTAACTATTAGGCAGTAACATCTTTGTGAAATCAAGAATAAAAATATCAACTGGGTTGAATTGGGATGGGGTGGACTGATCTTTCAGGTTCTTTGGCTCTACAATTCTGTATTGTTTCAAATGCAAGATGCAGAAAAACCAAGCTGTGTCATTTTTATCCTACCAAAATCCAAGGAATTAGACCAGGGATTTGTATTTTATTTTTCAGATGTGCAAGTATAATTTATGACTACCCAAACTAATAAACTAGACATCACTAAGTATGGGATTAGAACTCAGATTTTCTTTTTTGTAGCCTGTAATTCTTTCCAGTAAGTATTAATACCAAACGCTCAATCCTGGCCTTGAAAATCTTTAATCACAATATTTTAATGAATCTTAACTCATGCTTCAACTCTTCCATCAGACAAAACTTACAATATTGGCATTTTTTTCTACCTCAAATACCAAATGTTAACATTGGCTGCTCACAATGGCTAGAATACCATTCTGGAATCTTCATGTATATCTAATGTATTTAACAATAAGGCAGCAAGACTTTAGTTTTATCAGATCTTCCACACAAACTAAAAGCTGGTGTCAGAGAATACTTATACAATGAGAAGAATACAACTAACCCATTCTACATGCACGTACAAAGTACACCAACAAAACTCTGCCTCAGAGTTTTATGTGATTAAACCGTACCTCTACTTATTTCTAAAACAATATTCTTTGGACTCAGTGTTTTTTTGCCTGCACGAGATATAAATTCAAGGGTAAGCAATAGGCTTTCAAACTCTTTAGAAGTTCTAGTTTAATACGATGCATGTTTCTTAAAGTTGTCATGCCCCCCAAAAATAGGAATGAAAGTTATTCCATTTCTGAAATCTGAGGTCCTTACGAAGAACAGCATGGGTTTTGTTTTGGTTTTTTTAGGGAAAAAAGATATCTAGAAGATATCTAGAAGATAAAAGCTCTGCTCATATTTGTGACACTATGAGGAGCAAAGTTTTGAGGGCAAAAATATATATATTGCAATCCTTTGAATTTGCTAAAGATTTTTTTAAACCACTAGTAAAAACACAAGTCTCACATCTATTAAACTGGAGAATGAAGAAAGGAAGAAATACCAAATGCAACTTCAATAATCATACATGACACTGAATCATAGCTCTTTTCACTTATCAGGAACATACCTTCCCCCAGTCTGAGTCGATAGTTTCTATCAGTAAGGAGAGTATATCTTGAAATGCTTTCTGTATGCAGGCCTTTAGTTTTTCAAAACATTGCACAGACATCCATTTCGAAGAACAAGTCGACAAGAGTTCCAAAGGGGGCTTACTCTCTGAACCACTGGCTTGCTCCTTCAGGGTGTCCTTTAAGAGAAACTCCAAGACAGTTAGGATGTCTTCCTCATGCTGATGGATTTCCAGTTGGATCCGCCTGGTTTCCTGCATAGTCCATTCTCTGCGGCTCTGGTCTAGACACGTCTGTAATTCTGTCTCCTTCTGAAGAAGTAGCTCAGCTTTTTGCTTCAAAAAGTCTTCCTTAGCTGCAGCAAGCACCTCATTAATTTTATTTCTATGGTCATCTAAAAATTGCCGGTAATCTTGCTCATTTTGTTCTTGAATTCTGTGGATTTCTTCTTGCTTTTCTTTGTTCCACTCACTCCGGGCCTTTGCCAGCTCAGCCCTGACAACCACGGGGAGTTCCTCATTCTTTAACTCAAGCTCTCTCTGCAGAGAATGAATCTTCTCTTCCATTTCCTTTCCAGGTGTGACATTTTTCTTCATATTTGCAACCTCGCTTTTCCATTTCTCTTTAGCTTCAGAAACAGCAAACAATATCTAAAGAGTAAAACAATATATAATGAAAACTTTTTATGATTCTTTCCATCAATAAAAAAAATTAAAGTTACTGTTTGGGTTAATCTTTGAACTTGTCAAACAAGAGATTTAAAATCAAAATTAAAGAGAAAAAGTAAATTTAGGTAAGACATTAGTTGGTCCTAAAATATAATTACACTCAATGTGAGGATCTTTGCCCTCATTTTAAATCATCTAATATTTTGTCTTATGTAAGACAAAATTAAATAAAATTTAAAAATAAAAATTAAACAAAATTAAAAAATAAAACATCCATTTCTATATGGATAACTAGAAATTTAAAGTGACCAAAAAATATAGTTACATAATTATCTGAAATTAATTTTAGAAAAAAAATTTGTATTTTAATACAGATGCTATCTCAAATCGAAGCCACCCAAAAATAAATCATCTTTTATGTGAAGCAAAAACCAGCCTCATAAGGAAATCTTACTATTTTTAGGAATGTAACACTTATCTGAACAATAACTTGCTGGCAAACATAATGTATTTTAATGCAATTCTACTGCTTAAATCAGTTCATAAAATATCAAACAGAAAAGTCATTTTTTCATTAATCTAATTTTTCTTTGTAACAGATAACAGGACAAGTAGATCATATGCATCAATAGAACACAAGCAAAATTTAACAGGGGATCAAAAATCCTCAGCTCTAGCTCAAATCCTGACTTGGACTACAGAGGCAGCCTCATATAATATAGGCTCTGGAGATAAACTGTGAAATTAACAACTTCCCACTCCTCAACTTCTTTGATCCTCAATTTCCTCATCTATAATCTGGAGATAATTACAATGCCCATCTGATAACTGATTTTTTATTTAAATTATTTAAATAAGCAAAAAATTATTTAAGATTTTTTAAGATTAAATGACAAAAATAAGTAATCCATTTAAAGCACTTAGTCCAGAGCATAGCAAACAATAAGACTCAGAAAATATTATGTATTTACTGTTACTCTTGGCTGCACAGGCTTAGAAAATTTCTTTATCTGTTTTACACTGTCTTCTATATAACAAGCAGATTAGATGATAACCTCAAGTTCCTTTCACTTCTAATACTCCCTGGACTAAATCAGAGATGCCACAGGGATACAAATGCAAAAGAAGAATTGGCCTGGCCTAGATGGTGGTGACCACTATGAATCAATACCATATATACACTGTAGCTATGGAGATGAAGGGTTGGCTTCCTTAATTCTTAGCTATTACCTAATTATAGCAAATTATCTTCAACTATATAGATTCCTAGGCACATTATGTATCTTTACTCAATAAAATGTGTTCCTAAACAGTTGGATAAAAGTCAAAAATTTTGAATCATTCTTTAAGTTTACTAAAGGAACCCAATATCTAAGATGAGCTTTACAAAGGAATTCATAGCAAAATTCTTTTACCACCAGTAAAATAATTTAGTAGCCATGTGAAACATGTTTCCTTTCCCAAGAAGGAAAACAGGGCATGTCACAGTGGATGCCTGGAAATGATCAACAGGTAACTAGGGTAGAGGGGTCAGGTCCCAGGGAAATTGGGTGACCCGTCCAACCTCACCAAAACTATACAACCTCTCATATAAAGTTTTACAGGAGAATTTGGCAGCATTAATTGATTTAGAGCTTCCTGACATTGCTGCGCATTAGAATCACCTGAGGAGCTGTTAAAAATCCTGACTGATGCCCAGGCCACACCCTGTACCAATTAAAACATAAAGCCTAATTTTTAAAGATTCTCAAGTTTTTCAAATGTGCAGCAAAGTTGAGGAACCAACTTGACTAATTTTGGATTCTGGAAACTAGCTTTAAATTTCCAGATTTTGATGGATCCCTCTAATCTTACAAGAACTTCTCGGCCAGTGCTGAAAAATGCTCTTGCCTACCTCATTGGCTTGGAGGAAGGATTTACAACATGTTAACTCACTCCAGACCCATCAAATCAGCATCTCTAGGAGCAAACCCCAGGAATCTGCTCTAACAACTCCTCAACGTGATTCTCATGCCTGTTGAAAGTTTGAGAAGCAACACACGGTCCTCTTGCTTCTGTATTTCTACATTCACATATATTCATTCAGGACTCTGTGTTCTTACGGAAAGATCAACTTATTATTCTTAACTTCTGAACTCTAAGAGACATATGTACATCATCATAGAGTTTCCTCTTTCTCTCTACCTCTTAAATTTCCTTTTGAAATATCAACTCATTGGAAAAGACCCTGTTGCTGGGAAAGATTGAGGGCAGGAGGAGAAGGTGGTGACAGAGGATGAGATGGTTGGATGGCATCATCAACACAATGGACATGAATCTGAGTTGACTCTGGGAGATAGTGAATGACAGGGAAGGCTGGCGTGTGCAGTCTATGGGGTTGTAAAGAGTCGGACATAACTTAGCAACTGAACAACTAAAAACATACAGAGAATATTATAATGATCATCCATGTACCACCACATAACTTGAGAAAAATATTAAAAGATTTTTTTTTTACTTACGCTGAATTATTCCTTAAGTAATTTGTGGAATATAAGACTATGAATACAACATATGACTCATTTACAATGTCTATTACACACATTATTTTCCAAAATTGTTGTGACAACAGGAGTAATATATGTTTGAAACTTCAGTCTATTATATCTTGCGTATTACAATTAAGAGAGGATATAAACACACGGCATAAAATAGCACCTTAAGTTTGCTATTTGTGGACTTCTCATGAAGACTGTATGTTCATATATTTGGGGTACTTATCCATAGATTGTTTCTCATAAATCTGTATTGTTTTTCTTATCACATATAATGGTTCTATTTGATTCACTTCCCTTATTTTTATTACCCCCTCTTTTAATGTTATTACATAAACAAAAATGTTTTAAATGGTGTACATATTTTATCCTATTTATCTGTCTTTGCTAATGTGCCTGTTGCTTCACTACCGAATTATGATGCAAATCTGAAATATTCAATTTCTTTTAATTTTCCTATACTTTCATTTTAAAATGCTTAATTTCTGAATCAACCTCGAGTTTACTGTGATGTTTGCGATGGGAAAACAATTTTTCCAAAGTGCTGTCTGGCTATCATAAGACTACTTAATATAGAATAATTCCTCATTCCATGTTTTGAAACAATTAAGTCCTTATTCGTTGTTGGACATATCTTCAATGTCTCTATAGTACTGAATGAAAAAGAATTCTATTTTTGTGACTCAACACTGTCTGAATTGTTGCTTTCCAACATATTCTACTAAGTGTTAGGGCTGGACTACTATTTCTTTTCCAGAATATTTTAAATTTCTTAGCCCTTTCAGTTTTCCAAATAAACTTTCAAATTATTGTGTCAAATTTCAAAACTAAGTTCAGTTTATTGGTATTCTGACTAGAATTGGTTTATACTAATAAAGTAAGTAGGGAGAATACAAATGGTTGTAATACCTGATGTTTCTAGCCAAGCAACATGACATCTCTGGAAAGAAGTGCTGATTATTTACCAAGGGAAGTGTAAGACTACTGACACAGCACATAAAACAACAGTTATACATGTGAAAGGATATCATATAGCTAACTGCTCTCTGATTCTCCTAAAAATACGGCAAAGTAGAAAAAGATTTTGTTCCATGGGTAAGGTTCCAGATTGTGAGAGTTTCATTGACTCTGAAACACATTCTCTTCCCCTCAAATACATGATACTGATGAAAACAGATCCCACTAGTTGGGTCCTGAGCTAAGCTTATACAGGCACTATTGCATGTAATCCTTCCACAAGGCTGTGAGCAGGTAGGAGTTCCTGGGACCGAGATGAGATCCTCCTGAAGGTTCTTCCCAGGAGAGCTCTTACCCGTTTGGCCACTGACTGCTCCTGCAGCTCCTCCCACTTCTTCTGTTCTGCTCTTACAAGTGCTTTATATTCTGCGAGCTCTGGCAGTTCTTCCAGCCACCGATGACGAGCATTCTGCACAGCTGCTTCTACCTTCAGGAGAGCAATTGCGAGAGATGGAGAGGTAAAGTAAGGTATACAATTTCAGAAAGATCCCATCTGCAGGAAGCCTCTATGATTTCCTGTGCATTTTATGCTGTTTTGCACTGGAGTAGTTAAACTGATTTCAAGTACCTCCCAGCCCTTATCCCCAGCAGTGAATTTAATCCTTCTGTTCTAAATGTTCCATACTGGCCCATGCAAATGCCAAAACAGGAAGCAGAAAACTATACATGTTTAATGGCCACTACAATTAATAGAAGGAGCTTCCCTGGTGGCTCAGTCGGTAAAGAATCCACCTGAAAAAGAATCCACCTGCAATGCAGGATATCAGGGTTCGATCCCTGAGTAGGGAAGATCCCTCGAGAAGGAAATGGCAACCCACTCCAGTATTCTTGCTTGGGAAACCTGATGGACAGAGAAGCCTGGTGGGCTACAGTCCCTAGAGTTGCAAAGAGTCAGTGACTAAACCACCACCACCACCACCACCACCACCATTAATAGAAAACCATACAAATTGCCACTTCCAGAAAACTCCTATTTATCTCAGGGTGAAAAAGAAGAAATGCAGGAAGCTTGCTTGGTGTCGGCCTCTGTCCAGTCAGTATACCCACCACCTTCTCAGTCCTTGTGCCTGACGTATCAACATATGCACACAGGCAAATGCACCAATACAGTTTAGAGCCTTATACTCGATAATTTTTCTTGCTGTCAAGGATGAATCTGTGACTATAAAGTAAGGGGGATACTTCAAGTCAAGCAAAAATATAAGACTTGGATTATGAGGGTGATCTGGTTGTAAACACATTACGGGTTACCACGGATCATTTATTAAATAATTTTCCTATTTCCTTGTTCAAAATATCATGATATACATATGACCATACATACACACAAAAGCAGAGTTGATGTAAGGGGCTGAATTTGTCACTAAGATGTTAAATAAATTTATAGGTAAATTCTAGAAAGTTAAAAACATGGGGAAAAGATAAAGCTCCTACAGAAATTTATATTCCTTCATAAGTTACTGCAAACATTTCCTTTCTACAACATACTGCTTTTTGTTTTTCTTCACAAGATCTGTAATTATATAAATACCGAACCAGCACCCTTAAATATGTCCCTTTGCCAATAAAACACTTTATTAACTCGGTTCAAAACTTAAACAGCTGAGAAAATTTTTTTAACTAACTGAAAATACCCTTAATAAAATTACATATACTTGCCTACGCTTCCATACTTTCAGTATCCCTTGTAAAATCATGAATAACAACTTAACAGATAGGGAGAACAAGTATTTATCAAAAGCCAAGTACGTATTTTTTTAAAATTTTACTTCAGGTATTATCTTAAGACTTTACATTAACAGATCTAAAATTTTTAAATATATAATAAATAATATTATATTAAGGTGCGAGGATCTCTGAGGGCTAGAAACCTTGTCAGGTGGTTTGTGAGGTCAAAATTATTTTCAAAATATTTGGACCTCCTTTGTCTTTTTTACTCCCATTCTTTCATGTGTAAATAGTACAGTTCTCCAGAGGCTACATGCTATAGAATGTGTCACTTCCCTGAAGCCAAAGGCAAATGTGCATAAAGACTCTTATTTTTTAAAGTTTTCTTGCAGTTTTTTTCCAATACAGTAAAAAAAAAAATTATACAACCAACATAGGAAAAGCTGTTTCAAGTCTTCAGTTTTTAAAATTGTAAAGACATCCTAAGAACAAAAAATTTAAGCATCACTGTAATAGACAATATTGACAAAATAATAACTCAGCTTTTATTCTATTAACACAGAGCTATGCTTTTCTCTGTCCGACCTTTCTTGGAAGCAAGTAACAGGTCCCAGTTAAAAAGGAGCTACCTTTTTGAGTGCTTCCAAGGGGAGGTGATGATACCCTTTTTGGCCACAGGATTTATAGACAAAGTCCCATTTAAAAGGTAGGCTTCCAGATTCAAGTCTCAACACAAATATTGTTAAATATCTTATTCACTTTAAGCTTACATATCTGTAACTACTTTAGCAAATTATTTTCCATAAAGTTAGATACGAAAGATATATAAGTAAATTATGCTTCATTCAGATGTCAAACCATCATCATTAACCTCAGTCATCTTAATATTTAGACCAACTCAGAGGAGCACACATTTTGTACACTGAAAGAATATAGAGAAAAACTGAGAGTTGATAGTTTTGTGACAGAAATATAGTGAAAATTTTAGAACATAAGATTGTTACTCTACCCTAGGGTGCACAAAATATTTAAATATAAAGTTATGAACAAGTTCAATGGTAGCACTTAACAGGTTTTCATTAGTAGGCAGTTCCAATAATTTTGCTATAGTAAACCTGCCTATTACCTGTTTGGCAATATTTTCACAATATTTGAGTTCCAGTTCAAACTCAAGTTTCTTCAAGTTCCCCTTGATGGCTGTTTCCTTCTCTTGCTCTAAATTTTGCTGGATCTTTTGCTTCTTTTCTTCTATCATGATTGCCATCTCTTTCTTGGAAATAACATCAATGGTGGTTTCTTGGTCAGTTTGGCTGCAACAATCTGAGGTCTTCTTTTTCAGTGCCTTTATAGTTTGATCCAGTTTAGATTGCCACTCCTTTTCAAGCTGTTGAATCAGTTCTTGTTTGATCTGTTTTCAGAAGAAAAATTGCATGAAGAGAAAAATATTCAAATAAGCAAAAACTACAATTAATAGGTAGCCAAAAAAGCAACCACAGATGGTTTGAGAACCATCTAACATTGCTGCAGTAATCACGTGAGGTTTTGAAATGTAGTCAATGAGAACATATCCTCACAGAAATCCTGAAAGTTACTCTTTGACTTTATCTATGGGACACAAATCACATGGGAGATTTAAGTATGTTGTAAAAGATCAGGTTACCTTGCTCTCAAGATGAAAACTTTCACATTGCCACTACAATGATGGTATGATTTAAAAAAAAAAAAAAAATGAAGAAAATCTCTGCTATGAATATGTGATTTTCCATCAATATCAGAGTTTCCACAAAGCAGGCACAGGGTAAGTATAATTAATGAACCTAAAATTGAACAATTTAAAAAATAGTCTGACTTAATTGAACACATTAGAATCTCTTTTGTCATATTAAACTGCACTGAGTCAGCTGTGCATTCAAGAGGAGGGCATTACTGGAAGAATGTCTTAATGATATGACTTTCAGCAGTGTAGTAGGATGGACCCAAACATAATTAGCAGTGGGCAAAACTGTGAAATAGCAAAATTTGCTTTTCCTTCTTTCTGTTTCCCACCTCCTGGGTATCCAAGGTTTTCAGATTACTTCCCTGGCTACCACAGCTGCTGGCTGCATTGCTTCTCTCAAAAGAGCTAACTTAAGTGGCCTTTTTTGATTTATCCTTTCCTGACATTCTCAAAAAAGCATTATAGCTGTCTCACTCTTCCACCTAGTAAATAACTGGTTAAAAAATCCAACTAAAAACAATTTGCAGTAATTTAAAAATAGGACATTTGTTTTGTGCCATCTATATTTTTATATATACATGGCTAGATACACTCCAGAATGTATTTTTATATTAAAAAATGACTAGTGAAGGAATTTCAGGTGCCAGCACTTGACTGATGAAATTTGAGGGAAGGGATGGGAGATGAGTAGGAAGGTCAAAAGACAGGACAATGGTCTACAATTTCACTTTGAGGTAGCCCCAAGCCAAATTAATAGCAATAGCAAGGACAAAAGAACCTAGTTTAAACAAGTTTGATAACTTATTTCACTTTCAACTAAGTTTTTAAGATCACAATTTGGTTCTTCATTTTCTTGGAAACTATGAGCATTTCTTAACCTCATTTGCTACAGAGGTTAATAGAAGTTTTGTACCCAAGTCTACCCAATCATTACTTCTGTCTTCTAATCCACAGTGTATGTTAAGTATTTGTTAATTATATTGGTCTCAAATTATCAGAATCATTTCACAATATGAAATTTGGTTGTTGTTTCATTTGAAAAGTTTAAAAAGTACCCCTCAAAACACATTTCCTGAATTAGGCTAAAGAACTAAGGGGTGGGAAGTTTTAAAAAACAAAACTGGTATAAACTGCAAACAGCCCAATTCAAAGACATGAATGAATGATTATATATGTCTGTGTGTGTGTGTGTGTGTGTGTGTGTGTGTGTGTGTGTTAGTTTCTCAGTCATGTCCAACTCTTTGCGACCCCATGGACTAGAGCCCGCCAGGCTCCTCTGTTCATGGGATTCTCCAGGCAAGAATACTGGATACGTACTTGGCTATTAAAAATAATGTCAGTTCAGGAAGAGCTATCTTTCAACAGTTAGTACTATACATTTTTAAAACATAGTGACTAGAAAGAAATTTTAACCCACACCTCTTTCTGTTCCTTATCCCAGTGTTCTTTTGCTAATATCACTTCATTTTCAACCTGCTGTTTAATATTACTTTCGTGTTCTTTCAGCCACTTGTCTTTTTCCATCACAAGGGTATCTTGGTACTTTTCTTCAAGTTCCACCTGTAGTTTCCTTACACACTCTTCTCTTTCCTCCAATAGCTGTCTCTTTAAACAAAATTCAAATAAGTATCTCATATGACACTAATATTCTCCAAGTCAAATTTATAAAATAATAGTTATATGCATGTAATAGACAACAGCAACAGAGACAAGTGAACTTCCTATATGCTAACTCAATCAGTTGAGTAAGTTGTCTTGTAAAAACTTGCCTACATCTCACATATTTGGATAAGAAATTTAAAGTTGGATACATTAAAAGAAAAGGCATCTAGCACAATAAATACATCTAATAAATAAATACTCCCAGAAGACCAAATATCCTTTTTTAAAAGTGAAACTGACATTTATGTTTACAGCCCAGCAATCATGGGACATGTGAGGTATCACAGCCCAGGAAAACTTACATTTCTGAAATGATCTGTATTCTGAGAGAAGCCCAAAGTTATTACTCTGTTCTTTTTTTTTTGGGGGGGGGGGGGCAGGGCACAAGGCATGTGGGATCTTAGTTCCTCAAATCAGGGATTAAAACTGTGCTCCCTACAGTGGAAGCATGAAATCTTCATCACTGAAACTCTAGGGAAGTCTCTTACTGCTCTATTCTAAAAGTTATGCATCCTTCAACAAATTCAGATTAGTACTTTTTTCATCATCAAAGACAAAACCTTACCAAAACTAGCTAAAGCATTATCAAATAAGAATGGTCAAGTGTCAGTTAAAATTTAATAATTTGAACTATTCCTATAATATTTTCTATTCTAGGAACACAATTGGTCTGAAAACCCTAATAAAACTCTACTCAGGGATCAAAATTATCTATGAGCGTTTGTTTGAAAGTTTTTTCAAATTGGTCTTCTGGAAGTCCCACCAAGATGCTATGAGAAGAAACACATTGAAGACCACAGACTACAATACCAAGGAAGTACACCTCACATACCTAGTACTTGGCAACCAATCTTTTGTTCTGATTCTTCGGCATTATTTTTGACTTATGACTATATGGTTGTCCCGATTTTTTTCTGGTTCACAGCTGACCTTGTTTATTTCTGTCTTAATTGCTATCTGAGTCCTTTCCACCACTGGTACATGCCAAGAAGATGTTATCTATGTTTGCTGAGGGTTGTATGGTTCTGGAAAACCTCCTAGGGACTGAGGGACCCATTTCTTCAGTCACATCATGGGGACTGAAGTTGTACTAGGACCATAGGACAGTCTCATCCACATGGTCGGGAAAATTGTCCGTTGTCACATCATAGACCATATATCACTGTTATTTTTGTTTTGACTGTAGAACAAATCCCGAAATTGTCTTATCTGTGTGTGCCTTTCCTTTAGGAGTTGTTTCTATGTATATCTGCATTTCCTTCTGACACACAGAAAAGAACTGCTACTAATTTTCTGTGTGTCTATATGTGTGAATATATTAGCTTAACTACATAATAAACCAGGCAATACAGAGACAACAACAGACATCTATTATTTCCCATGATTCTGTGCATCAGCTGGGTGGTGGTGATAGCCTGAGCCTACTCAGCTCATCTCTGCAGACAACTGGGGCTACAATGGTCTCAGATGACAACACTCACATGCCTGGTGGTTTGTTCAATGTCACCAGGATGACACAGTGACTTGGTCACATGTCTCATCATCAAGCAGGTTATTCCAGATCCTTCACATGGTGCTTGGACAAAGCGTTCCTAAGAGTATCAAGCTTCCAAGGACCAACACATAAATGCTTTTTAAATGTCTTTTTACATAATTTCTACTAGTATCCCATTAGCCAAAGTCAGTCATTTGGCCAAGGTCAGATTCAAGGGAAGAGAAACAGACTATCTATAACTGAGAACAGCTACAAAGCCACACTGCAGAGAGACCCACATTCAGGGATAAGAAGAAAGTGTGGCCGTTTCTGCAATCCACCACAGTGAGGAAAACCTTGCTTCCAACTCTACAGAAGAAAAGCAAATTTACTGGTCACAGGAATCTGTCATTTGAACATACTACAGGAATATTTAATTCAAAAAGTTTTATCATTCAAGGGAAGGAATACTTGAATAGTTTTAAAATGTTGAAACTTCTTTTGCATGCCTCTCACAGTCAAAAAAATCTAACTTCTAAGGACTGATTTAACATGGATTACAACTGTATAAACAAGCCTTAGCTTGTGCGTAGGAATGGCATTACGCAGGGCAGCATCGGTCACCTTTTCCTCATCTACAGACTCATGTGTATCTGTGTGTTGCACACTCAGTTGTGTGCAACTCTTTGTGACCCCAGGAACCCTAGCCCACCAGGCTCCTCTGTCTGTAGAATTCTTCGGGCAAGAATACTGGGGTGAGCTGCCCTTTCCTTCTCCAGGGGAATCTTCTGAACCCAGGGATCAAACCCAGGTCTGGCACACTGCAGGCAGATTCTTTACTGTCTGAGCCACGAAGGAAGCTCACAGATTCACAGCCTTTATTGATTATACCCAAGTTTGAAGTTCCAGTGTATATGAACAAGCCGGGTTAACATCTGCTAATAGAAGCTTTAAAGGCTGGTATTGAACTTGGACTTAACCTGCAGCCTGATTCAACAAGTGTTTCAGAAAGATGACATATGAAAAGAGGAAATACAACTGGGGACTCACAGCATTGCCTGTCATATACATTTTGTATCCAAGCAAAGCTCTTTGACCCGGAGACCAACTGCAGGGACAATGGCTGACGTCCTGTGGAGGAGGACTACCCTAACAGCTCCCTAGCCTTCTCGCGTTAGTAAGATTCTCCCATTGTGTGAATGTGAAACAAGTCCTAGGAAAGTACACTGGTGTGTAAATACATATCTTTGTCTAGTTCTGGAGGATACGAAAAAATTAAAGTCTCATAAATGTAAAGGAGTTCTATTCTGACTGGCTTCTGAAGGCTACTAAGCTTTGTAAAGGACTTATTTAAACCTAAATAAAAAAACTAAAGAATATCCAGAGAAGAAAGGAATTAAAACTTTTACTGCTCTTAAGTACACTGGCCCTTTAAGTGAGGGATGGGTATAATTACAAGCAGATAGTGCAGAGGAATTTTTTAGGGTGATGAGACTGTTGTTTCAGTCCACACATTGACATCAAATGAATAAGAATCAATTTTATTGTATGGCAATTTAAAACTTTTAAAGAAAAAAAGTCTAACTTGTAGGTTTTTTTGAAAGGCCCAAATAGTTTTAACTTTCCTTCTTGCCCCAGTGCACAAGAATTCATGAGCCAAAATACCAGTTAGTACCAGCTATTAATTGCAACTGATCAATTATGGGGGGTGAAATTTTACAGCCAAATTGATTCTTTTCAAAGTACTAGGAGATATACTTCTGAAAAGAATGACCTCTTTGAGAGAAATGCTCTTATATTCTTGCCAATTTATATATTTAAAGGAAGAAAGAAAGAAAACAATCACACTAGATCTTCTCCCTATTTTAATTTTTTTAAACATTACTGAGCTAAGTCTTTAATTTCTAGGTAATTTAAGACACTTTCTAGCTTTTATTTCATCAGCACAAACTAAAACATCTCCCCTTAGTTCTTTTTTCACTAGATGGTATGTATACAGGGCATGCTTTTCTACCATATTAACCTGATCAAAAATAATCAAAATATTAAATGAACTGGACATCCTCACCTTCTCCTTGCCATTCTTTTCAAGTCTGGTGGTAGCAATTGCCACGCTTTACTATAACTTATTCAGAAGTCTCTGTTAAACATTTCCTCAAGACTTTACAAATATTTTCTGATTTTGATGCAGGTGGCTTTCAGGCTGTGGGCTGCAGCCTAGTCTCAAGGAAAAGGGAGAGATGGATGGGTGTCTGGATGAGGCTCAGGTCAGGATAGGGAAGAAGACAGGAGGGGCAACTGCTTTTAAGTGATTTGACTCCTGGACACTCGCCAAGGGCAACTTGGAAGATTCAGGCAGGAGTACAGAGGACACTGCAGCCCCTCCAGCTTCCCTGAATGACAAGACCTCCCAGGACAGAGGTCATACTTAAACTGACCTTCCTCTCCACAGCCCCACATCATCACCTCCTGTATCACAATACCACAGTTCAAATTCCTGCCCTTTACCCCAGCACAAATGGATGCTTACGTCCTGAGAGAAATGGGTCAGAGAAAAAGGTCTCTGAGGGGGATACTTCGTGCAGTGCTCACACACACACAAAACAAGGATCCCTGGGCTTCAGACTCAAACTGACTCGGGTCCACCTCCCTTATTTTTATAGAACTCTCTTTGATCTCTTAGAAATCTACAAGGAAGAATCACTTTCTCCTATGGATCTGCCATTTTCTACTAGGGCTTTAATAATCATTTCAATGTTTACTGAACTTTGTGAGCTGAATTCGTGTCAATCAGTCAAACGTAAAGAGCCTTCTACAGAAGTCTTCCCTGTTCCACAAGAGAATGAGTGCACTGGTTTCAAAGAGCAATGACGTGAGCACAACATGAACTTGTTCTGTACCTTCTTCTCCTGTGCCTGTTGCTCTTTGTCCATGCTCTTCCTGAGAGTCGCTTCTAGGTTATCTTTCTCTCGGCACACTTCCAGGTAACATTCCTGCACAGCCGCCATCTCCTTATTCACCTTATCTAAGTCAGACCTTGGATACACAAAACCAGCAACTAAATGTAAGGCTGCAGAACGAACAATTTGCCTCTAAATGATGGAATAAGAGAAAGCTGTCTCTACACTTTCAAGGGCAGCAAGACTTGCATTCTCACCTAAGTTGTAAGCGAGTTGCCTCGTAAACCTCAAAGAGTTGCTGTTTCTCCAAAGCGTGCTTTGCTAACAGGCTTTCCCGTATCTGGGCTTTCATGGCTTCGTGGTGTTGCTGGTAAGTCCTCTCACACCTAGAGACAGACGACAGACAGCGGAATCTAAGGCAGTGCCCAGCATTACCAGAAACAGCACGACGAACTGGTTTCCCTCCCTTCCTCCCCACTCCTTCCCTATGAATGCAAAGCGCAAGTAAGATCAGATTGGTCTTCCCCAACCAAAAGTGCTAATAGTTAACTTTCAATAGATGATCTTATAAGAATCTTCAACATTTTCTTTCTACAAATGTTTCTAAAGAAAAATTAGAAACCTAGATGTGTGAATGCCCTAGTCCTTCACACAGAGTATAACAGTCTGTGTTTAGAACTTGTTTATAAAAGAATAATTGAAATAACAGAGGGTGTGGGTCCAAAATTCTAAGTTATCTATATTAAACGCAAATACTAAAGCACCCAACTCACACATAAGTTATGTTCCAAAAGTCTGTTTCCAAGTTTATGACTTTGTATTTAGAAGACATTACTTCCTCCCACAAATTTCTCTTATTAAAAAAAAAATAGTTAAACCATTAAGCTCTACTGTTTCAGTGAACTACAGTTTGGATGGTTCTATAGAATTCAACCCACTATGTAACATTATGTCTATGGAAAGTGAGTTCCAAATTCTAATTTGAGAAGCCAGGGACTCATCTTCTCCAATTTATGATCTCAATGGGGAGGGTTCACCCCCATCATTTTACTTGAATCTTTTGGAGGGGGGTGTGTAAGGGAGAGAGAATAGGAGATGGGAGAAGGGAGGCCTATGTCTGTACCTCACCTATCAACAGCTTCTTGTTTATCACGGTCAAAATCTTGTACCATTTGTCTCATTTGATTGCATAAGTCTTGATTTGTATTTCTCAGTTTTTCTTCAGTTTCTTTAAGTTCCTGGATACAAAAGAGTAAAGTATTTAGAGGAAATAAACACCTTTATTGACTAGTCTAATCTTATTTTCTGATATGCTCTGTCCCTTTTCTCTTTCGTTATAACATTATTTGACATAATATCATTTTCATAATTCTATAAAAGTCTCTTCAGACCTTGTAAGAGTATAGGCTTATCAAGTAGCTTTCTGACTGGAGTAAACATTAAAAACTTGTATAAAAGCATTCAATCAGTGAAAAATTGGTTAACTGATGCTTTCTAACAAGTCTTAGAATACAATAATCTTCCCAACCATATAAATAAGCAAGGTTTTACTTTTTGGTCAAGAGCTGACTAAGGAGCAAAGAATACCTCCAATAGCCATGCAATTATGCAGACAGGAAGCTGGAATTACACTAACTTACCTTTCAATGAAAATACTACCACATGACCAGTAGTAAAAGGAAATAACTGGAATCCTAGTTACCTGCTAATGTACTTGTCCACTAATACCTTTGTGTCATAGTACCTCTCTATTTTTTAATGAGGTCATAAGATTTCTCATAAAATAAAGGAAAGTTTTTTAATCACCTGATTTTGTTGCTGTAAAACTTGAATTTCATTTTTAAGCTGCAGTATTTCATCTTTGACAATCATGTCAGAAGAGTCAGGCCGTATCTGATTAGTTGGTTTTTCTGAGGTGTCTGTTTTAGTCTAAATGTTAAAGAGAAATCAAAGTTTTTCAGGTTTTAAAAAATTTTTAAGCACTAGTTTTGAAACAATGTCATACTTACAAAGAAAGTACAAAAACAGTACAAATAACCAGAGTACAATTATCAATACCAGTAAATTAACTAGGATGCAATACTATTACCCAATCTACACGCCTTATGCAAAATTTTCCAATTTTCTTCTAAATGTCTTTTTCTGGTTCAGGCTGCAACCTACAACTCTACATTGCATTTAGTTGTCACATATTATTAGTCTCCTCCAATCTGGGACAGTTTTTTTCAGTCTTTGTCTTTCAAATCCATGACATTTTTGAAGAGTACTTGTAGTAATCGTTTATTTTGTAGGCTGCCCCTCAATTTGAGCTTTTCTGATGTTACTTCATTATTAAATTTAATAATTTAAAAGGTTATGCATTTTTGGCATGAATACCAAAGAAGTGATGTGAACACTTCTGAGGAGACATATGACATCAATATGCCTCATCACTGGTGATGATCAACTAACTGATGAAGGTCAAAGACCCTGTCTGCAGGCACCTCCACTACAAAGTTACTATTTTGCAATTAATAGTAAGTATATTATTCAGAGACACTTGAGACTATGGAAACATTCTATTTTTTATCACACTCTCACTCATTAGGCTTAGCATATTTAGTCAATATTAATTCATACATTTTATTCAATAGGAATTCATGATAGACTTTGGTAAATTGCTTCCAGAAAGTTGGTACACATGTATACCGTCAGGTAGTACAAGAGTCTGTCCAGCTCTCTTTGCCGCCAATGGCCAGTGACTGAATGATTATTGTGCTTCATGAGGGAAAGGGTCTCCAAAATTTTTTTTATTTGCATTTCTTGTATCACCATCAGAGAGCAACCTCTTACATGCCTTCATTGTTCACTTGTTCTTCATCTTCCCAGATATATACAGGTTAGCATTTTCCTCTTACTACCTGAGTATTTTATCCATTTTTATAAGTTATTTGTTCATTGAAGAGGTCAAAGTTGTTGTTTTTTTAATATCTACTCTAATTGACCTATTGATTTTATTATTTACCTGAACTCTGAGGTCTCTTCTTCAATGTTTAAAATATATCTATACCAAAGTTCATTCCACTAACTGGGGGAAAAAGAGGTATGTGTATCTCATTCTATGTGGCGTGACAGAACCCCAAGGCTTTGGCTCCTTTTTCGCGTTTAGTCTTCATTTCCTTCAGAGGGAGACTGCTCTAGTTGCTGGCTTTGCTGGTTCACCTGCCATCATGTCCCAGAAGTCACTGCTTCTGTCCCAGTCATAAGAAAGAATTAGCTTTTCAGACTTCGGGGTATCAATGAGACTTTAAAGGATTTTGTTGACTTATTAGAATGGCTTTTGTTTTTTTCAACATGGCCTCTACTTTTCAAGGTTTATGACATTCATTTGTGCTTCCTTCCCTATAAGTGAGTTTCTATTACTTAGAATGAAAGTAACATCATACTGCTACCCTGAAAAAACAATCTTCATGGATAGTTACTGCACTCAATTTTGACATATTTTCACACTGCAGGCACACTGGGACTTGGTACTTGCAGTAATTGTTGGCACAAAACTCTTAAGAATGTCTTTCAACAGAAAAGGACCATTTGAATGTCGCCACAAAATTTCTCTCTCTAAAGCTGGAATACAGAAGGCATTATCTTCAAAAACACAAGAAATGTAATATACCAACTCTTTTACTATCTTCCTAATTTCTATGTCTCAAAAAATTCTAGCCAGGACCCTTCTGAGTTGGCTACGGAACATTGCCTATCAAGTCCCTTGGAATCAAGAGTATGGCTTTAACCACAGCTTGTGGTAAGGTAACGATCTCTATTAAGTATCACACACAGAAAGGGTTCTGTGTTTTATTTCTTAAGCTTACAAGAAATTCAGTATCGATGTGGTCCCTGCCTGCTAGTAAGCCAGTCTGGTTTTCCTAAGGCCTTTGCCACATTCTATGTTAATGGCCCAGTTGTTCAACTGAAACGAACAGCATAGTATTTGACCTACCCCTAATCACTGCATAGTGCTATACATGGGCAGACTCCCCAGTTTCATCACATATTATCCTGGAAATGTCATAAAGCAGCACTGCTATGAACAGTCATATATGACATAAAAGCAAAAAAAAACTCTGCAGTAACTTTAAATTGTTCTATATAAGATGAATAGAAATGGATATAAACCATACTAAAGGCATTTATAAAGAAATAAATATATTAATACCTTTAAAACATCTATGAAAGAAATCTGTCAAAAAAGATTGTATAGAAAATATTTTTGTTGCCCTTCTTAATACATAAAGGCTTTAGGGGAGGATTCTGATGGCCCAGTTCTCTTTAAAAAAGACATCCAGGGAAGTTTAAATTATTGTGTTCTTTCTCTTAGCAAGCACAAAACTTCGACATCATCTCATTAAGCTCCGGATTTGATGCCAGCTATGATCATTCTTTCTAAACAATCAATAGAGGCACTGCCCTAGTGTCCAGGGCTCGCCTTTCGGTGCAGGGCACTCGGGTGCGACCCCTGGTCAGGGAACTAAGATCTCATGCTGCAGAGCAACGAAACCCACCTGCTGCACCTCCTGAGCCCATGCGCTCAAGAGCAACCAGAGAAAGTTGCTATCACGTGCACAGCAACCAGAGAAAGCCAGCACCCCACAAAGACCCAGTGCGGCCACAATTAAAAAAAAAATCAAGACATTTAATGAATTTAGCTGCATTAAAGACTTCAGAAAGACTAAGTTTATATAATATGAACTTCTAGCTTATTTGCTACATCCTTTTACATACGTCCGCTCAAGGCTGAAATGTCCCTTTCCACCTTCTCCCCTGGGTTTATCCTTGAGAACAGAGATCAGAAGTTCCCTCACAGACTTCACTAGGGCTACCTTAGTACCCCACGCCACCCCCAAGATCAGTTAGTTATTCCTTCTCATAGCACTTTGTAATTAGTATCATCCTTATTACACAAAGTTATACATGTCCATCTTCTTATAGATCCGTAGTATTGACTATGGTAGCCAGTAACCACGTATGGCTGTTGAGCGCTTGAAATGTGACTTGTCCAAATAGAAACATGCAGTAAGCAGAAAATAATGCCAGATTTCAAGGGCAGAGCACACACACACAAAAAAACTGTCTTATTAATAATTTTATATTGATCACATATTGAGAAGATAATATTTTATATGTACTAGGTTAAATAAATTATTAAAATCAATTTCACCTATTTTACTGTAATGGGACTACTAGAGATTTTAAGTTATATATATGGCATTATTATATTTCCAATGGATAGCGATATTCTAGAATCGAAGTTCCTTCACAGAACAGCCACTGTTTCTTTCATCGCTGAATCCCATTAGACCTTGCATAAAGTAGCATTAAAAAAAAAACTAAACTGAATGATTTTCTTTTCATCCACATATCTCCCCAACCCTGCTTTCTGACTTTACAGACTAAATAGGGAGCTTCATTAGAAAAAGATGAGAGAAACAGGAGGCAAAGGCCAAGTTTGAAGGCATTCATCTGCTAATGAGATGACTGAGAACTTAAGTGCTTATTTTAAAAACCCACCTGTCCATTAAATTACTACCTCCTCTCCATCTTCCCCATCTAGGAAATGGGTCAACATATGTAATAATTCAATAAATATTTACTTAGCAAACACTCACAGAATTATCAAGACAATACTCTCAAGAGATTCCTATATAGTTAAGTTGAAGCAGAATAGCCATAAGCATCAAGGACCGAATTCAGTCTCACTTTAAGAAAAACCAAATGTAGACTGCTGAGAAATCACTATGGCGGAAGGCTACCTGGCAAAAAAAAAAAAAAAAAAAAGATATTCAAAGATGAGATGGCTCCCTCCAATCTACTGATAAAAACAGACTGTAGTGTGTGGAGGCAAACGGAAAGGTTAAAAACAACACAAGGAATGGCCACCAGCCATTGCCACACATGTGAAAGTGTATCTGTACAGCAAACGCCAACTAGGGATTTCAATATGGAAAAGAGAAAGCAACAAGACACCAGAGCCAAGGTTCAGACCCCAAATCAGGCTCCTACCCTTAGCACACTCACACTAAAATGCTTATTAAACTAATCAACTCTAACCTAACACAAATTTTCATTTCCATTCTTTATAAAAAACACATGGAAACAGCTAAAAAAGCTTGGTTTAAAGATGTTAAATGTGCTGTGGGGAAGCACAGTCTCCCGTTTCTCATTTGCTTATTAACATTGAAATCAATGTGCTCATCAAATATAGTTACTCAAAAGAAAGAACCAAACTGGGCAGGGCTTTCACAGTGAGAGCACACTATTATTTCTGGAAAGCAAACTAGGCACGATTAAAATTCCACAATAATAAGTGCCAGAGAACATCTTGCACACTTTGCTTTAATAGCACTGTTTTAATGAATACAACTCCTAGCTTAAAGGATCAAGAGATAAAACAGTACCAAAGTAGGAAGTAAAATATTATTTCCATCCATGAGGAAAAGGAATATACTACCTACAGCTTTTTGTTTTTTTTTTGGTGCACCACACACCACAGAGGATCTTAAGTTCTCTGGCCAGGGATTGAACCCATGTCCTCTGCAGAAGCACAGAGTCTTGAACACTGGACCACCAGGCAAGTCCCACCTACCTACACTCATATATTACCTTCCCTCTCCTCTTAGCTTCTAGATCTTTCTTTCCAATGGGAATAGAGGTGAGCTGGGATTTAGAAATAGAGAAGGGTGAAAAAGGCAGCTGTTGGAAGAGATAGGGATTTAGGGTCAATCCCTAAAGACCTCTGATAGCATGATCTTGGAGAAATAACCTTGACCTATTCGTTAGTCCAATGTTTTAGTCTCAATTCACCCAAAGACTCACTCTAAGCCCAGAAGGGTCACAAATTCCTCCAGTTTCATTTACCTTATCTATAAAGTAAGCAAGCTAACTCACTTTATAAAGATATAAAGGTGGGTTTCAAGGACTCTGACAAGCCTTTCCCACCTCTAACACCACCATACAATTAATTTTTTTTTTTCATTGTAGAATGACTATTCTTTTAAGAACATGGGCTAGGGAAATATCAGACAAATTGCTAGGGCATTTCATTGTGGAGAGTCTAACTAGATGTTAAAGCACTACTGGAACAAGCCAATCTTGAGGAAATGCAGATACCATGTTATAAAGAATGCTTCACTGGATTTGTGGTTATGGAATTTTACCTAATTGGCATCTAATTTACTAGGTGCCAAGAGTAACCAGAAAGTATATTCCTTTAAGTGGCATTTCCTTCTTTAAACTTCATTTATGGACTTCCCTGGTGGTCCAGTCGTTGGGAATCTGCCTGCCAATGCAGGGGACATGGGTTTGATCCCTACTCTGGGAGGATTCCACATGCTGGGGGTGGGGGGAGGGGGCAACTAAGCCTGGGAGCCACAGTTACTGAGCCTGCACTCCGGAACAAGAGAAATCACCACAATGAGAAGCCCGGGCACCGTAACTAAGGAGCATTCCCTAGTTTCTGCAACCAGAGAAAGCCCGTGTGTAGCAAAGTAGATCCAGCACAGTCAGAAATTAATTAACTTTACATATAAAAAAGTCAAAGGAATGCCTGAAAGACAAAGGTTTAATTTAAATGTGAAAACTGTAAGACTTTTCTTTATGAAGTCTTGAAAAACAGCTTTACAGCTTTACAAATTCTACCTCAATGCTTTTTTCATCCTTCTCCACTTGGAGATCTTCAATTTTCTTATGAGAGTTTTTTAGCTCGCTTTGTAACTGAGACACCAGATGACGCTTCACAGAGTTGCTATCCAGCAAACGCTGCACCTCTGCTTTCAGCTTCAAGATGACCTCCTCTTTAGAAAGCGCTTCATCTGGGCCTTCTGGTTGTACAATGCTAATGGAAAAATGATTGTATTTAAGGTTAAATCCAATAACAAATCAAGCATGACTATTCCTTAAAAGCAACTAACTGTAGTGGTAACCATGCTTTGCAACCCATCCAACTATATACTCGTATTTCAAAAATAATTTTAAGCTTTGTCATACACAGGTTATTGCCTTTGATACATCCCTATATAAAAATAAGTTCATTCACAGGAAGACCATTCTTAAGAATAGTGCTGCTGCCTCACTGCAAGAAGTTCAACCATATGAACTTCAGCAGAGCATGCATTTTTACTTTTGATAAATTGCATGCTATATATACATGTCCTTCATGACTCCAAGAGAAACAATGTGAAAATAAAGAGGAAATGAATAGTAAAACACTAGTTATCCTCATCAACAATTTCTGTCTCTCTTTTATTAAAACACAAGTCTGGGTGGATATCTGAACAACTGGAAAGAAAAAAAAAAACAACACAAATAAATGCCGTGCTAATTTAATCCCCACTGTAGTTGGTCAATAAATTTTAAAATTGGAATGAGTATTTCTGTTCCTTGCCATAATGGATTAAAAGGACCAGTCTTCTCTTTCTGTCTTTAAAAAAGCTAGAAAACTAAATAAAATAAATGAAATGGTAGTGTTCAAACACTGGGCAACAAGCAGCATAGTGTAGTGATGCTTGAGAAAAGTAAAGCAAGGTTAGCCCTATAATGGCTGCAGCTTTCTTCCTGGAGAGTTTCCAGTATGCAGCTTAGAAAGAGGAAACCCAGGGAGTCCGCTCTCTGCAATCTCACCAAGTTGCAGAATTCAGTATGGGAAAACCAAAACGGCTAGAATCTGGGGAGCAAAACACTGTGAGGAAGGTAGCTACACAGAGAAAGGGCTCTGGAGACCTGTGGTATATGTGAGAAAATTACCTCAAGATGGGGGCAAGGCAGGGAAAGCCACAGCAAAAGAGCAGGGCTGGGAATATTTTGTATTTCAATGAACCATAGTGGAGAGACTTCCTAAGTCACACAGCATCAAATACTGCCTTAGTAATAAGGCCAAATTAGCCCCAGATTAAGCTGTTTGTTCTAAATCTGATCTAATGAAGCCTACAAAGAAGGCTTGAAAGGATCAAATGAATTCCAGGTAACTTTAGTATGTCACAGAAAAAGAATAACAGCATTTTTTTTTTATGCAATGAAGTCCAAAATCTAAAGCATACAATTCAGAATGTCCAGCATCCAATCAAAATTTACCAAACGTGAATAAAGCAGGAAAGAAAATATGAACTGTAACCAGGAGAAAATGACCAGGGATGACAGATAGTAGAATTAATTAAGTATATGCCATATGCTCAAGGAGGTGTGGGGGAGGGACACAAAAACAATGAGGAGGGAAATGGAAGACTTTATGCCCCAAATTGGACTTACAGAGACAAAAAGTAAAAATATATGAAAAAATATACCTACTAGATGAAATTAACAGCATATTTAATACAGCATACGAAAAGATCCATGGACATAAAGACATAGCAAACTTAAACACAAAGAGAAAGAAGACCAGAAATATATAGAGTATATTAAATTTTCTAACCTAACTTTAGTTAAAGTCCCAGAAGAGTGGGGAGGCTGATAGAAAAAATATTTGAAAAAATAATAACCACAATTTTTCTATCTGATGAAAATTAAAACCCCCTAAAACCTAGAAGCTCAATGAATCTCAAGCACAAAAAACATGATAACCATTATAAGTTACACCAACACACAACTGCTTAAGCCAATGATAAAGCAAGAGTGCAGGAAGATTCCTGAGAGATGACCAGAGGAAGGGATTCTGGATTCTGTGTATAAGCAAGCCTTAGTCTAAGTCCTGAACTATGTATGCAGAGAACAGACTGCATGCATCAAATCAGCAAAGATTTGGAGAATCTCTCTGAAATTTGAACCGCACAAGTCTCAAACTGACTAACCCTGGAGAGGCATATACATACACAGGACAGATTCAAATCAATGCGGCAAAGGCTCAGAAAAATAAATGAAGATTTGAAACACCCATACAAGTCTCTAAAGAACAAAAAAATCACAATGTCTAGCATACAATCTAAAATTACTCAATATAAAACTAACAAGGAAAACCCAAATGCTAGAAATATTACAGAGAGTTTTGAAAGTTCAAAGCAGCAAATATCTAGCCTTTATGAGTAAAGAAAACATACTTGAAATGAATGAAAAAATAGGAATTTTCAACAGAGCATAAAAACGTTAAAAGAACCAAAAAGAAATTTTATCATTAAAAAATACAATACCTAAAAAGTTTAAAAAAAAAAAAGGAAAACTCAACTGACAGGCTCAACAGAATAGAAATGACAGAGGAGAGAGTGAGTGGACTTGAAAACAGTTCAATAGCAATTATCTAATGTGGAAAAAAAAAATGAACAGTGTCTCAGAGAACTGTGGGACAACATAAAAAGATTTAACATTATGTGTAACTGGAGGACCAGGAGAGAGAAAGCAACAGGGGCAGAAAAAGTATTTGAAGAAATAATAGTCAACATTTTCACAAATTTGGTAAAAGACATAATTTACATTTTCAAGAAGCTCAGTGAACTGCAAATGAGATAAACTAAAAGAAAAACACACTTAGTCACATCATAATGAAAGTACTGAAAAAAGAAAAAGAAAAAAAAATCTTAAAAACAGCAGGACAAAAAAACTACACATTCAAATAACGACTCAAAAATCAATTCAAGAAACGATTCAAATAACAATAGATTTCTATTCAGGAACTAACTACCAAGGCCAGAGACAGTGGGAGAGCATACCTTTAAAGTGCTGAAATAAAAGAATAGTTGATCCAGAATTCTGTAATCACCAAACATAACATTTCCATATAAGGAAACTAAGAATTTGCAGACATGCTCTAGAACAAATGCCAAAGGAAATTCTTCAGCTAGAGGGAAATCTCTACACTGAAAACTACTTAACATTGGGACTTCCCTGGTGGTCCAGTGGCTAAGACTCAGAGCTCCCAGTGCAGGGGGCGAAGGTTCAATCCCTGGTCAGGGAACCAAACCCCGCATGTCACAACTCAAGATCCTGCATGCCACAATTAAGACTCCTGCACCACCAAATAAACAAACATTTAATAAAATCTACAAAACATAACTGAGAGAAATGGAAGGCCTCGATAAACAGAGAAGTACAGCATGCATATTCAGAAACTGAAAGACTCAATTTCTTTAATTCCCTCAGCTTTACGGAAGTGTAAGTGACGAGTAGCAATTTCTTAAGATGTCAATTCTCCCAAAACTGATCTATAAATTCAACACATTTCAAAATTTGAAATTTAAGTTTCAAATTTGTCCAAAGGGAAAATTCTGTATTAGTTGACAAGCTAATCATAAAATTTATTTTGAAATGCAAAGTACTTAGAGTAGCCAAAACAATTTTGAAAACAACGAAGTTGAAGGATTTGTTCAACCCATTTCAAGACTATAAAGTTACATTATCAAGACTGCTCCCTCCAAAATGATCACTGGAACAGAATGGGAGAGTACAGAAACAGGCCCACAAACATACAGTCAACTGATTATTAAATATATCAAGGCAAGTCAATTGGGAAAGAAAAGTTTTTCTGACAAATGGAATTAGATCAATTGGATTTATTGGAATAAAAAAAAAATCAAACTTTCCCTCACACTATACTAAAAAATTAACTCATAATGGATCACAGATGTAAATATAAGAGCCAAAACTATCAAATTTCTAAAACTGTAACAGAAAAATTTTGTTAACACTGAGTTACAATAACTCATGGACTGTACAAAAACCATGAAGTGTAAATAAGAAATAAATTTGAGTTTATAAAAAAACTTTTGCTCTTCAAAAGATAACATAAGAAAATGGTAAGATAAACCAGAGAGGGGAGGAAAACACTCACAACACATATATCTGACAAAGGGCTTGTACCTGAAATATATGAAGACCAAACAACATATTGTTGTTCAGTAGCCAAGTCCTGTCCGGCTCTTCATGACCCCATGGACTACAGCACACCAGTCCATATATATACACCAAACAACATACACAAATGGCAGTTAAGTGTGGCAAGAAAAGAGGAAGCAAACCACATCAAAAGATGCTTAACATTATTAGTCATTAGAGAAATACAAATTAAAACCACAATGAGATATCACTACACACACACTAGAAGTGCTCAGATCTTAAAGGACTGGCCGTCAAGTTTTAACAATGACAGAGAACAACTGAAACTCTCTAAGACATTTCTTCTGGGAATGCAAAATGGTAAAACCACTTTGGGAAAGAGCATTTAGACTACTAATGTCTAAATAAAATACAGGAACTTTAAAGGGAAAGCAATTTGGAGCATAAGTGAAAAGGAAGAAGTAAGACTATCTCCATTGGCAGATGATACAATTATACCTAAAAAATCTTAAATCTAATGGAAAAACTACTATGAAGAGAATTAGAACGCAACAGGTTATAACCTAAAATAATCATATATACACACAATACTCAGAAGAAATAATGGAAAAGAACATGCCATTCACTATTGCAAATAAAATATCTAGGCATCAATTTAACAAGAATTTTGCAAAATCTAAATGTGAAAAACTTCAAAACACTCTTAAAAAGACAAAGAGATTTAAGCAAATGAAAAGACATGCTACATTCTTGAATAAGTAAATTCAACATCCTAAAAATATCAGTTCTCCCTGGGTTAATGTATATATATATATATATATATATCTAACATGACCCTAGTGAAAATATTATCAGGATTTTTTTTTTTCCGGGAACAGAACAAGTTAAACATGGAAGTTCACACGGAAGTGTAAACAAGCAAGAATAGTCAGAAAAACCCCAACAAGAACAGCAGTTCCAGGCAGATGGCAAAACTAAAGTATAAAGCAAAGCAATAAAGCTTTCAGAAAGCAGCATAAAAGAATAACTTCATGACCCTGAAGTAAGGAAAGATTTTTCTTAAAGGGACTATAAAAA